TTGAGTTACTTGGTCTTATTTTTTCATTTAGTTGTCTCCTTTTTATTCTCACTTAGGAAATCCAGATTTTCGTTTGCTCCCTTTTTTCTTTCAAGTTAAGAAATCGACACATACTTAAATCAATTGCAAGAAAAGATTTTGATCTCATAACAAACTTGAGAGCACACACATTTGATTTCCTGGACCAAAAGAAAAAACAAGAAGAAGTAAAGTAAATAGGCACGTTTTTTTTTTTGGAAATTAAACGAAACAAAGTTAATCATGTTTAAGATTAAATAGACTACTCTAATTGTTAATCAAAACCAACCACATTTTTTTAAGCGGTGAAGTTGAATAAGCTCGAGTTTTAAAACACCCACAATTTCTTTTTTGAACACTTGAAGAAAAAGAATAATTTTTCGTGAATTTGATTGGAATAAGAATGAGTTTTAAAACGATCTTTTGAGAAGTTAAACAAGAATGATACTATGTGAATTTCTGTTGAAGAGATAAGGACGAGCGGTTATTCTGGAATTGTTAAGGATCAAACTTGGTGTTAGTGTAAAAAGGTGGATTAGATAGCACACTTCAGAGGATCAATCGGTCTAGTATTCGATGTCAGAGTCACTTGTATCTTCCTCTTTGTCACCTATGATGGCATCCTTGCTACTACCTTGTACAAATTCCTGACTTTGAGTAACTTGAGGGTCCGGATACAACAAGGAAGCTTTTTCAAAAGCTTTCTCAAAAGTATCCCCCATGCCCATAAATCTGGTCACGGCATCACCACGGAGTTGAGAGCGTTTAAGGTTGATATCTTCTTTGCGATTGTCTGACATTACCGTAATTGCTTGAGCTATCTTGGATGTCAAATGAGCTTGCTGCTTTTCTTTTTTGGCTTCTGCTTTTGCTACGGTTTGGCGTTCGGATTTTGAAGGTAGAAAGTTGGTCATAAGGGTTTGAAGTCCAAGAGGATCTCGAGAAGTGTTTCCGTTCCTAGAATCTCTTCTGAACTCTGGATCATCATAAATCAAAACCACGATCAAACGGAAGATAAGACATGTAGGTCACTTACTTTTGTTGTGTCTTTGACGGACTGATAACTTTGTTTCTTGCACATCTTTCACCTTGATTTTCTCATCAACCTCTTCTTCATCCGATGCCACATGAACACGTTTAGAATTACTATTTTCGCCATCCTCGCCATCCTCGCCATCCTCGCCATCCTCGCCATCAGCATCATCATCATCTACAAAATCGATGTTGTTGTCTATTAAATCAAGGTTGTTGAGTGAATTTAATGACGTGTTTCCTAGGGTATCGTGAGTCGCTTCGGGTATGATGTTTGAGCGTTCGAGCATCACACCCTCCAAGAGTACATACCAAGGACAGGTTGCTAACGCATAATCTACATACATCCACCACTGTATCAGCTCCACAGTTTGGAAATGTTAACAAACAACCACATACCTAAAGGTGAACCTTTGAGAGGTTTTTGGTAACGGCCTCTCTTTTGTGAGTTATCACATATCTTTCCAACCATCTCCTCTTCACCATCACTATTGACAACAACTGATAACAACTTCATCTCCTTTAAGTTTGCTTGGTGATCTTCATTGTCGAGAACCCCCTGTCCAGTCGATTTAACATGTTCCCACCCTTCCTTGAACTTCCTTTCGAGCCATTCGATTTAAACAAAAGGATACGAAGAATATTAACACCTGAACATGACTAATCAAGTAGAATAAGTACATACCTTCTTATTGCACTCTCTTGGTGATTGACCAGGACGATTTTTCTGCGCCATATGATCACTCAAGATAGCAGCTACAGCAATCTTGCTTGGAATGGCTTCTTTCCATTGACTGAAGTTATCCAACTCAGCACACCACAATGCAACAATGTCCATGTCAGAGTAGCCGTCAGGTCCGTCCACAAACCATGAGGATTGAGTGGGCTTCTCTTCGCTAACAGGTTTCTTAGGTCGTCCGCGTCCTTTTTTTTCAACTTGAGGTTCACTCATTGGGTTGATAGGGGTGACTGCAGTCAGCTGTGATCCAACAGGTGTGAACAAAGCGGGATTCAAGATCGAAGCTGGGGTGTTTGTTGGCAAGGAAATCAAACCCTGAGGCGAAGTCGAGATCAAAGGTGCTGATGTGGCTGAGCTAGCCAAAACCTGCCCCAATCGGATCAAGTCTGCTTGAGAGAGGGAAGCCGAGGGTGAACCTTGAAAGGCTGGGAAAGTCGATCCCGGCGTGAAGTTAGAAGATACCGTGCTGAGAGAATCAATTGGAGTGTTGGTGGTTGATGCCGATATAGCTGTATGTGGCTCTGTTGATTTGTTGGATTTAAGAGGGGGTTTACTGGTTTTCTGTTTCTGTTTGCGTGGCATGGTGGCTTGATCAATCAAGAGGGGAATGTGGAGAGGTTGAAATGTTTTTTTTTTCACGTTCCCAGCAAACCCAGTGTAAAAATTGACTGGGTGTACCGGGTCTTTGGGCAACCCGGTTATGTTTGAACACGGCTAATCCTTTGGATTACTACCTTTGCTAAAAAGCTTGCCCGGTTTGATCGCGAAGAAGAGACATGAGAGGTCAAATTTGGCCGCAGCCTGCTGCGAGGCCGCTGCGCAGCTCGTCAAGATCCCAAATTTGGCCGATCACAAATCCTGAAAGAGATCGACTTCACCCATGGATCTCCGACTTTGAACCATTTTGAGACACATTGTGACTATATTCACAGCATATCTGGAGCTTGGTATGTCCAGATCAACCATACAGTCAAATTCAGCTCTCATTTGATGATATCGAGGACCAAAAGTGCTGTGATGTTTCATAGTCTCCCTGGTATAATGGTCTGCCTAGATGGTTGTCTTCACACTCTTGACCCCTCATTAGTAGTGTGTTCAAGCCTTGATAAACTTTTGTGCTTTTTTGTTTTGGCTCTATGAGACAAACAAGTACAAGTCCAAAAAGGACGACATGTTTTTTTAAAAAACTTTTGTTCTTCTTGCTCAGTCAAGAGCTCACCATAGGATGATGATTGGATTGACAAATGTTCAAGATGTAAGCCTTGATTTCATTTCGGAATTTTAGCAAAAAAACTTAGGCTGCTCAGCCTTGAACCCAAGATGGCAGAAGCACCCACGTTGGCTAGTCACGCATTGTTAAGCCGTTCGACGAGAATCGCTTTCTTAAAATGGAATTAAAACAAATCTCGATAACATTCGCAGCGCGATAGAAATCGCATAGACCTGTGAGCATGATTCCATCATGATGAGGGAGATATTTGCGCTTTATGATTGATTTCAACATATCTCAATGTCAGAGATCCACAGGTGAAGTCGATCTCTTTCAGAATTGGTGATCGGCCAAACTTGGGTTCTTGTCGAGCTGCGCAGCGGCCTCGCAGCAGGCTGCGGCCAAATTCGAGCTCTCTTGTCTCTTGTTCGCGGTCGAACCGGGCAAGCTTTTTAGCAAAGGTAGTACAACTATTACAACTCTTATCCTTTTGACTCGGAAGCTTTCAAACCAAAAACTTATTCTTTCAAATTAAAGACCTTGTATTAACCTTGAAGTATCCTTATTGATCAAATGAAGTAATTTAATTTTTTGGGGTCGATTACCAAGAGTGCTCTTGAAATCAGTAGCTCAACTTTTAGCTAAATTTCCGACTGTTTCCCATTTTGGTAAACAACCTTCACTACATTGAGTGACAAAGGGTTGTTTGGGAGCATGACCATAAGCTTTGATAAGTCCAAAGATGATCACTCAACATGAAGCAGGAATGAACAGTCTTGGAATGAAACAATCAATACGACTTATTGATGATCGAGGATGAGGACTATATGTATTTCATTGAGACTAACAACCATGAAAAAATGATTTTAAATGGACTTGTTTACGTCCAATATCAATGGATCAAATAATCTATAAGTAAATCTTGTCTTCTACCTTGTCTTGCATAAACAATGGAAAATTAACACTGAATATGGTGTCGATGGATAGAAGATGAGGGAGAGAAAGGGCAAATGAGAAGAATCGAGTGATTTGTACTCGATTCACTCATGAGTCATGAATAACCACAAATAACTCATAGATTGGTTTTACCGAATGGCAAAGTTGCGGTAAACTCGTCAACAAATGTATAATGTGACCTTTGACGAGTTTTACCGAATGTCTTCACAGAATAAATTTTATACATACACACACGGTGAGAAAATTTCTCACCGTGATACAAAAGTCGCATATGTAACTTTATGCGACTTTTGTTACCGAAGGGGGTGGTAAGTGTCTTTCTTACGAACCAGCAACCGGCAGGAAAGGGCTGAACTGAGCCGGTGTTAAGAAACGGAGATACAGTGATACAAAGGCTTCTTTTAAGCTTAACACAAGCCCTCTCCTCCCTCTTTGCAGAGGAAGTCTTCTTCACAGGATCTCGTTAAGCTTAAACTTACAAGCCGGGTCCGCTCGAAAGGCCGGACATAGTGCTATGTAGATGGTGATAGGCAAAGATTCGTGTCTGGACAACTGTAGTGTGATCGTGGAAAAGTCACCAGTCTACATAGGGAAAATCTATGAGTAAAGTTTGATCACCGACCGAAGGAATTCCGTCCGTAAAGATTTCACTAGTTTATGTAGGTCTACATGTAAGATTTGTAAAGATAGATAGATAGATAAATTCAGATGAAAGATAGATGATAGATTCAGGAGAAGTGAAATGGTATGGGGATGCGAAGGATGCTGAGTAGGTTAAAGTGAACAGAGAAGAAGTGAAGTGAAGTGAAGTGAAGTTTGATTAGGAACTTTTAAAAATAGTTTGATAAAGGTGTTGATTGAGTGTAAGATTGGTGATGGATGACTGATGAGAAGTGAAGTTTACCTAATCGGTTGGAAATCATTACCCAATTCAATTACAAACCCATTTTTAGTATAAAATTAATTGAACCCTTGACCGTTTTCAAGATTTGTATATCTTGAGTTCAAAGTTGTACCCTTTAATTTAAGCAAACAAAAAACATTCTCATCCAGGCTCATTCTCATTCTCAAATCTTCAGTAACCAATTCCTCAAACTAGACTAAACTAGACTAGACTATCTTCTCATCTTGCATTTTCATCAAACCTATCAATCAAAACCATCCCTCTTCTTTGTATCTTATAAATCTCATCAATCAGTGAAACGTGCATTAGCGAATAACGAAAACTTCATAACAAAGACAAAAGCAAAACAAAACAAAACACAAGCAAGCATGTCATCACAGAATAATTCATCAAATTCATCAGTTTCATCTTCTCCTAGTTCGTCAACTTCTTCAAGAAAGAAATTACTTCGTTTGTTTCATCTAAGAGATCCCGCAGTTCAAGCTCAAAAGAAACAATTCTCTTGGGGTTCTCATCTTGGTAAGTGACGTTTTTTTTTTCATTCGAAACGGTCTGATGATCACATTTTTCGAAAAAAAAGTCGACTGATTCATTTCGTTTTGTTCGGTTTTAGGTTCTGGTACTTATGGTGAAGTTTCAAAATGTGTTTGGAAAACTCATCAACCAAAAATGGATGTAGCCATCAAAGTCAGTACGATTTTCAAAACAAAACTGTAACTCAAACCATTAAAGTGGATTTATGAATCAACTTTTTTTTCTTTAGGTCGTACCTAAATCAAAAGTACCTAATCAAGAACAACAAGAAAAACTATTGAATCATACATTAGAATTACAACATCCTCATATCGTTTCATTACATCATTGGTTTCATTCACGTCATCATTATTACATGGTCTTTGAGGTACGTTTCATGTTTTTGTATACTCGATTCATTTTGAAAGTCATTCATCCAACTCATCATCTTGATCATCTCATCTGTTCGATAGCTTGCACAAGGAGGCGAATTATTTGATCATATCATTGCTCATGGTCGTTTCAATGAAGCCGATACTCGAAAGATGATCACCGACCTAACCTCTGCAGTCGTTCATATCCATTCACAAAACATTGTACACCGAGATCTGAAACCCGAAAACCTATTCGTTCGAGGCTCCGGTCCAATCTTCTCGGCTCCTTTTGACCTCCTCTTAGCCGACTTTGGTGTGGCAGTGATCTTACCTACACCTAACTCTATGATCAATGGAGTCTGTGGTTCACCAGGTTACACAGCTCCAGAAGTTTATCAACGAAAACCGTATGGGAAAGCCGTTGATATCTGGTCATTAGGAGTGATTACGTTTATTTTGTTGTGTGGTCGATTTCCATTTGCTAAATTATCAGGTCCAGAATTCTTAGAAGAACTTTCAGAACAAATGAGAAAAAGTAAAAATGGTTCGATTAGGTTACCTAAAGCATTCGGATTGAGTAAAGAAGCTGAAGAGTTTATTGGTGGTTGTTTACAACTTGATCCTGAAAGACGTTTAACAGCTGAAGAAGCTTTGAATCATAAGGTATTTTAGTCTTCTCTTTTTCCTTGAGTGTTTTGAACAATTCACTCATGATTGTTTTTGTTCCTTTTTTTCTTTTGAAGTGGCTTGTTGGTAAAGATCCAATTACTCAAACACCTAAATCTTCAATCAATCCATCCTTATCAACAGAAGAATCAGATCTAGAAGTGATTGAATTTCCAACTCATCAATCTACTTTACAAGAAAGCAATTTAGCCGAAGTTAGATTTTGTAGAACTCGAACGATTTCAGAAGGACCTAGAGCAGCTATGTAATCCAAGTATAAACTTATATGAATCTTTTTCTAAACAGGTTTTTCGTTTTTTTTGGTTTTGGTTATTCCTTAACTAAAATCAAATTGTTTGTTGTATCACCTTTGCTTTGTTTTGTTTTGTTTGTTGTTGTTCTCTTCTCTTATACGAGCTTTTGATCTATTCTTTTTCTCTTTCGCCCTCATTAGTAATTCAATTTGCTTTTTTTTTGTCGTCTTTCTCCTCGTTATTTTTTTCATTTTTTCATTTCTTTTTCTTTTGTGTAAAAATAGATTCTTGTATGTAGGTTTGCATATACTCATTCACACTTCTTTAAAGAAAAACAAAAGCATTAGGTTCCTACATATAAGTTTTTTTTTATCCTTTTTTGTCTCTTTTTGTCTATTTCTATTGACGAAAAAAATTGTTTGATTTAGTTATTCATGAAGAGACGTATGCAAAGAAAGAAAAGGTTGAATTCATTTTTTAGAATTGAGTTTGGTATGAAGTTTGATTGTTTCTTGAAAATTGCAAAAGTATGACTCTGTTTGAGTTTGGCTATCATTGCTCTACTGGATGATGATCATTCAAGTCGGGTTGATAGTGTTTGTTTCACATGTTCAACTGATGACCATTTGGGATCCCAATGTAGCATTGATCATTGAATTGAAGCCTTATGTGAGCCAATTTGACTATCACGTGTGAAAACCAAAGCAGTGATTCTTAATGCTCATACCCTTACTAATCACTTGAATGCATTGATCATGCGTTGACTGTTTTGAAAAAAGATCCAAAAACCCTATTTACCTTGAAATCAAGTTAAACACCATGAATTTGGATTCTCAACAATGGAGAAATGAAGTCACAGTGATATTAATCAATCATCTCATTATCAACATTTCTTAACATTCCAAAAAAAATTGATTAACCAAACCTAAGTGAGTAAAGATTGCCTACAAGTACATTTTTGAAAAAAAAGAAAACTAATCTTCTTATTTGAATTCTGTTATCTTACGGATACATATCTATTATATTTCTATCTAGTGTTTAATATTTATTTACAAAACCAAAAACAGAAGTAAACCAAGACAAATCATTATCCTCAAGCTAGAATCTAAGCATTAATTTATAAACTGATCATCATAATATCTATCCAACACTTCTTTCAAGAATGTAGTTTGTTTTTTTCGATTGGTTTTTTTGTTTTTTTTTCGAATGGTTTTTTGTTTCATTCTTGACGATTTTCTTCTAAATATAAAAGTTTCATACATAACATCCAAAGTGATCGGCCTAATTTCCCATCCAAATCTTGAGCATACAGACTTTTTCTACCAATTTGTCCGTATGGTACTATATAATTAGATCTAGAAAATAAAACATATATGAACCCAAAAAAGGTATGTAAGACTTCAAGATATGGAATTTTTTTCTTTTTTTGGGGGGGGGAATAAGGAAGAGGCGAAGACTGAACTTTAGGTTTTTGGTTTCGATTTCTGGAGAAGTAGCTGCGTAGAGTTGGGTTAAGGCTCCTTGTTTCGCATCACACATGAAAAGTTTCATCAATGGATCCTAATCGAAAAGAAAGAAAAAAGAAAAAAATCAACCCAAAAGAAAACCGTAAAATCACAAAGATTCAAAGAAAGAAAATGAAAAAAAAACGTGAAGGTGAAGAAAGTTTTTTTAAAAAAAAACACTTACGATTAAGAAGGAAATTAAAAAAGATAAAAATCGAATATAAATCAAGCAAATTATGTTGATGGAAATCCAAGATTCATGTAATGAAGTAAAACTTAAGTATTCAGATTGAGATTCGGTTGGGAATAAGTTTCTAAAGACATCTGTATAAACAATACCAGGATGCTAGATCATTGATCAAAAGTTAGATTGGTTTTAACCAATAGAGAATCAAATTAAAGTTAATGACTTACAACTGCTAAACAAGTTATATTGGTATCTTCTAATCTCTTTTGTAATTGATTATTAAACAAGATATTCTATAATAAACCCCAAACCCGAAATCAAGGATCAATTCTTTTAAAGTCTATCCTCATGAAGCATTTTCAAAACAGCTTTCATCATAAAGGAAGAAAAAAAAAAGAAACTTACAGTCAGTTTACTTGTTTTGTATCTACCCCAACCACTTAGCGATTTAGAATTCAAACCATCAAGTGTAGAAAGGTTAGGTTTTCTAATTAAGTAATGAGCCATACTGGTGATATTGATGATTCTAACATTTGAAAGTTTGGAAGTGTTTTTTAAGATCGGTAAAAGGTAATGAGTTAGAGCAAAATGACCTGTTGTATCACATGCTTGTAGTTCGATTCCATCTATACTTAATTCATATGGTGTCATCATCTACCAAATCGAAAAAAAAACGAAAAAAGACATTGTTAATTCGAAGAAATTGTGACCCAAAAAAAAGAAACGTTGGAATCTAAGAAAGAAAGATTTTCAAAAAACACTCAACTGCTCCAGCATTATTGATTAAAATATCAAGTCGATCTTCTTGATTCATAAACCTAATCGAAGCTTTTTTTGCACTAGATAAAATCGTTAAATCGAAATAAAGATAATCGATTTTGGCATTTGGAATTTCTGATAAGATTTTACGGATTGATAATTTCGCTTTTGATTCATTTCTAGATGCCATACTATCAAGAAAACCAAAAGTTGAATTAGATTTTGGATGTTTTTCGGTTTTTGGGGTTTTTGGGCTACTTACTATACTTTGGCACCATGACGAGCGAGTTCTAGACATGTTTCATAGCCTAATCCTCCATTTCCTCCTAGACTCGAGGGAATCAAATGTGAAGGAAATGAGTTTGAGAATGTAAGTTGATGAATCTTGAAGTAAATCAAAGGAGAAGAAGCTTACCAGTCACAATAGCCACTCTACCTTGAATTACAAGTGGAATCCATTTGTAAAGTTGATGAATAATTCAATTCATAACAGATGATCAATAAAGTTTATGGATGGTTGAATTTTAGAGTTTACATACCTGATAAGTCTGGAATCTTTGAAAGATCAAAACGGGCTTGTCGATTCCAAAGATTGGAATTTAAATAACCTTTAAAGGTATTCATAAAACAACTAACTTGATCAACATAACATTCTGGACTACCTAAATCCATCCTTTCTAAATTGCGATTCTACAATCAGAATAACTTGATGATAAGTAATGAAGTGATTGTATCTAAACTGAATTATGTAATGCTTTGTGATCGGAGGTAGACGGGTCGGTAGAATGCTTGGGGTTCTGGTTCAGGAAGGTTTTTTGGATTTATGATTTCATGAGTCTCGATTCGGAAGGTCTTTTCAGATCTGCATCTCCCGTTTATTTACTTACAATGATGGAAATTCGGCTACGCTGAAACCCAGGGATCACGATGCTGCGGAAGAATTGTCATTGATTTTGTTTGTAATTGGAGAATTCCTACGGCTTGAACGCCTCAATCAATTATGTATTTACTTTGGAAATGAAAAATCAAATCATCACGTTACAATTCTTTAAAGCTTAACTTAAGCCCCTTCACGAGCGCGTTCGGCGCGCCCTCGATGAGGGGCTTACAATTGGGCTCGTGATCTTTGGCGTGTGAGCTCCAAGAATTTATGTTATCCTAGCATGTTGTTTTTTCAACTTTATTCTGTCACCTCATCGTAGAAAATGTTAAGCTTCGAGTATGTACATATGTGGTTCTTCATGCAATTGTACATATCTTGAATATAACTTTCTTCACCAACAAACACTGTTGCACTACTTGAGCTTGTGTTAAAGATGCAAAAAAAGACAAGCCTTTATGTCCTGTATTTAGATGACATAAGACCACCTAAGATACCTCAGATGAATTTTGTAAAAGCACCAAATTACCAATTTTGCATCACAAATTTAACGTGCTCATGAGGGGCTTAGTTAAGCTTAGTTATAATTCTAGACCAGACCCAGAACTTGCCCAGATTTCCATTTCTCTCAGTGCTCACATTTCTCAGTTGAGTATTTTCTTTATTATATTACATTTACTTTTTGTTTGTTCTACTCTCTCACTTTAAATCAGGCCATAGCTACCTTAATCTCTAGATCAGATGCCCTAAGATTTTAAACTAAAATCTTATGGCGTGTGTTTGGGGGGGGGGGCGTGCAGCCGCTGATCCGATGACCAAGGTAGGCTCTCTGCATGGCAGGGCGTAGGGGCGGGCGGGTGGACAAGAAAATTTTACGAGAGAAATGGAGGAAATGTTTTGATGAGCTGTTTGCTGCTATAAGCTGATGATGAAGTAGATGGGTGGTGAAAACTCTGGTTTTCTCTCCCACCCTTCTCCGATGTGAACATCGTTGTTCTACCATCTTCCCGGTACCGTGATATCTCTGGTACCGGTCCTTTCCACTTCGGGGTCTGCTCTCTTTGAGTTACATGGAACTTACAGGTGCCGTCGTTCCTTTGGGCACCTGTATCACTCCATTTCTCTCAGTGCTCACATTTCTCAGTTGAGTATTTTCTTTATTATATTACATTTACTTTTTGTTTGTTCTACTCTCTCACTTTAAATCAGGCCATAGCTACCTTAATCTCTAGATCAGATGCCCTAAGATTTTAAACTAAAATCTTATGGCGTGTGTTTGGGGGGGGCGTGCAGCCGCTGATCCGATGACCAAGGTAGGCTCTCTGCTACCATGACTCGGGAAGTATCGTCCGGAGCCTGCAGAGAGCCTTCCTCGGTAGGTCCCAAGTTGCACCTTCCCAGGTATCCCCCGAGTTTGTCTTTTTGGTATTTCAATAGATTTCGGTTTCTCACGAGGCTACATACGTGTATCTCACCATCTCTCGAATCTCTATTGATGATCTCCTTACTTATGCTATGCATTGGTAAACGAGAACTTTGTCTTTGAAAAACTTCTCATTTCACTCTTAGACCGATGACGACAACTAGTTTGAAAGTACCTCTCTCCTCTTTCGATTTCTATTTTGTTCCTTCTCTCCTTCCTTCTCTCTCCCTCTTCCTCTTTTGTTTCTTTCTTTTTTTTTTTTTTACTGAACTCTTTTATCAATTTCCTTTCCTCCTCCGTTTGATAACAATTTCGGTCCATCTACCACCCTAATCGCCAGATCCTGCAGTTTCATTTCTTCCCAAATATATTTCGCATCTCTTGAATCGCCGATCGAGTACTTCTGAAGGTATAATTGGTAAGCTCGTGATTCCCACCTTCCGAAAAGTTTGATTGTCTCTAACGGGTGCTTTTCATTCCACCTAAACGTTGCACCGCCAACCCAAAACGAATGTCCTGTTAAATGACTTCCAGCTCCCGATTTCGACCACACCTCTCTACAAGTACTTAAGAACATCGCCTTAGTCAACGGGATTCGTAATCCGTTCTCGTCCGGGTATGAGAATACCGGTTCCATGTATACATCGACTGGCTTCGATCGTATCAAGATTTGGTTTACTGCATTGACCGGATCAAGTAAGGACGCCAACGACCGGAGTTGTATCCATTGAAGTTCTCCTGGCCGGGCTGTTTTCGCTTTGTATAAGGCGAATTTAAGGTAAGTTCCGTCTTCTGACCTCAGCATGTCTTTCACCAATATCTTCCTTTTCTTCTTGTTATCTGAAACTAATTCTCCCAGTCTAGCCATACCCCAAAAGGCCACCAGTGCCACGGCTAGTACTGCCTTATCCCTCCACGATCCATCGGCCAAGTTCATTACCAATTCTGCTAAGTGTCTTAGCTGAATCGGTTGTTTCTGTATCTTAACGTGAGTCTTATCTTTCGCTTCTGCTACTCCACAGGCCTTCAGCATCAACTTGACTACTTTATCATTTTCCTCAGGGAACGGTTTATCGTGAAATAGATGCCAGGAACGTATGCCGGTGATGTACTTCGTAAGCGTTACTAAGCTTATTTTGTGATCTGTATCTTCTTTATCTGACCGATTTGACTCCATGTACCCATTCCATTCTTTGCCTGCCCACACAATAAACGCCTTCAACTTCTTTTCATCTAACGGTAAAACTTGTGACCTGCTTTCACCGATGGATTCTCCGAACTTCATAAGTTTCGATATCGCGGCGCTATAATTTTCGAGTGTCGGTTGGGACCAACTTCCGCTCAAGAGTCGTTTCTGTACTACATTACTCTTCCATGTTATCTTCCTAAAAAAGGAATCACCAAAGTTGTCAGTATCTCATCATTCCCATTCATCTCTCTTTTTTTTTTTCTTACCCGTTTTCATCCATCAAGAATTGTTTAACTTTCTTTTCATTTTCCATCAGACTTCTTTTGTCTACCACGTCTCAAGAACTGACTTAAATCTGCTGGTATGCCAATGATCACTTCTTGGTCGTTCTGTAGTAGACCTTGGTCGCCCCGCGATAACGTATCGGCGATATTACCCTTGGAGGTGACTCGATTAGCCACTATATCACACTGGAACGAGGCTAAGTCTTTCTGTATACGCCGCCACTCGTCGTTCACTAGCTTATGTTTGGATTTCCTATTTCAAACTGCTGCTTGTGAGGTCGTGTTGTCGGTTAGTAGGAGAAAACTTCTACCCATCATTGGCATGATTTGGTGAACTACGTGTAAGCCTAATCTAATCGTGACAGTCTCTAACCAGTTGATGTCACGTTTCTGACCTTTTGGTGACAGCTCTTTGACATCCCAGTTCGGGAGTAACTCAAATCTAGCCCACCTATCACCTATCAAAATCCCAATCCCGTAACTGGTACTAGCGTCTCCCACCCATCCTATCTCGGCCGGTTTGACTTCTGGGACGAAGCGAAGGTGATCGAAGTTTTCTAATGTCCCACGCCATTCCTCTAAGTCTTCTTTCGCACCCTTTGGTAAATCTCGCAGTGCACGCGGGTTGTACCATTCTGCCTGCCATTCATACAGGTTCCACATATAACACTTCATATGTGGCAGAATATGTATCAAGTGAATCAACCTTCCAACTAATTTTTCGACTTCTTTCAAACTCCACTTCTTCCGAGTGGTGAGGAACTCTTCAATCTGACGTTTTCTTTCATCTAACTTGTCTTCGGGTAATCTAACAGTTTTGTTTTCTCCGTTCCAGATAAAGCCAAGGTATTTCTGTTCCACATTCCAATCTTGAAATTTTTCTTCGTTTGATTGTACTCCTAGATTTTTGCTGACTTGCACTACAGTTTGCATTGATAGTTGACTGTCTTCTGATTTGACGAACATGTTATCGTCTACCCAACAAAAAATCCGGTCTACTTTCAGCGTTACTGAGATAATATCTCTCCAAGCGTCGGCCATCCAACCAAATGTACCACATCCCGCTACCCCACCGAATGGAATTCTTGTATCAATCCAGATATTACCATCGAAATCCTTTATAGTTAAGAACCGCCACTGGGATATATGTATCGCACCTTGTCGGTAGGCCTTCCGCCAATCATAAATTGCTAATAATAATTTTATACCGATTTTGGACCTGAAAAACGACGCCACAGTTTCGAAATCATCCCACGATGTTTCAAAGTCTAATTTATCAACAAACGAAGTCACCGAAGGGATTTCGACCTCTTCTTCATAACGGAAATTTTCAGACCATTCTTTTGATCTGTCTGATTTATTCATCTTGGTAAGCTTTTCATAATTTTTCCCTTGCCGTAATAACGCTCGTCTCGTTGACTTCTTGAATTCCGAGCTTTGAGGGTAGGAGAGGTCGTTTATCATACGTAAAGAATTATCATTGTTCGTCACGCTCCCCATCGGATTGGAGTGAAAGAAACCCCAGCGTTTATGGACCTCTTCGTGAGTAAAAGGTCCAAAGATTCGTTTTTCCCGTCTTTCTTTGTATAAATTTGCCATAATTTTATCTTTTACTGCCAATGCTGACGAGTGGTTGTTTGGCGTGAACCATTTTAGGTCTCCTAAATTATGTGGGGGAATTCCTTGATGGAAGCCGGAGGTTAAACTTTGCAAAACATGGTTCCATTTCGATAATAAATTTCCTTCAGTGAGTAGTATTTCCCATTCCTGTATATTCATTTCACATTTTGCTTCTGTTGGCCAATTTTCTAAGTTGGCTTTTTCATTTACTACATACTCACTCCGCGGATCAACTTTCTTGCCAATCTTGTCTATGATTTTCTCAGGACTCGAATGGAACTCTGGCATTGCTTGTATATTGCTTCATATCGTCAAGGACAAGAAATGAAAAGAACATGGACAAAAAAGGACATAAAATAAGAAAACAAAACCATTCTCAATCAGCTTCCACAACTAATGACAAATAAGTACTGCACTCTTTCTCTCATCACAAACAACTTCTCTTCAAACTTTTTTTTTTTTTGATACTTACTTTGATGTGTTGGTATTTTTACTCGGTCCAGATTCATTTCCTCCTCTACTACTTCCCATCCCTCTCGTGAAGCTACCAGGGCCAATTTGAGGACGAGCGGGGCCTCCGACGTTGCCACCTCCGCCATAACTACTTCCCGACCCAGATGACCCACCATATCCACCATATCCACCATACCCGCTACCACTACTTTGTGGGAACCCGTACCCACTACCAGCATTCTGGTTGTAATTATTATTTCCATATCCGCCACCTCTAGCGTTCTGACTACTAGCATAAGGTGGATGGTAAGGGTGTGGTCTAGAATTATGATTGAAGGTATTAAAACCTCTCTGATTTTGATTCTGTTGAGCCGGCTTCACATAATTTGGATCAAACACTTTCCCTTTGAACCATGGGTGAGCTGATGAGTTAGACTTCAACGTATTGACAAACCCTACTCGTGTATCAGGAAGTGTTGGTATCACTGGTGTTGCTAGGTGAGAAACTAATCTACCCGTTAACATCGCTGCTTGAGACTCTCCACTAAAGGCTTCGTCATCCCAAGGTTTATCAGCCGGATGTGTTCTCCCAGTTACTGGATTGACGTGTTGCCATTCCCCTCCGAGGATATAAGGATTATCGCCGAAAACATCCTCTCCTCGATGTTTCGCGTCTCTAACTGCTTGCGCCACTAAGATTGTGTTTAAGGTCCCCACATCTGCCATTGATCCGTCTGGCATCCGGTGCTCCCAAACATTTTGACGATGTGCGATATCGTACCTCATCGCTGGCATCCACATACCGAAATTATCTTCTTGTATTTGAAGTACGTTCTCTTTATGTGCTACTAGTCGAGGTGCAATTGGAAATCCTTTCTGACTATCTAAAGTATCATATTCCAACTTTTGATATTTCACCATTAGATTGAATCTTGTAGACCATTCCGCTCTGCTGAGTCGGTACTCGTTTGGTACCTTCAATCCGACATACGAAATCGTATCCGAGGTACAACTGACCGTCTTTGTACGTTTAGTTTTCATATAAGTAGAGTCTTCAAGTAACCAAGCAGTAGAGAAAATAGTAACTGGTACATGTATATTTTTATTAATCATAACATTGTTCCAATATTCTGATAGCCGAACCATATTGTGTCTCAATTGCACTCCTAGCTTCATGTGAGTATTTGTTTCTTTCTTTGTTGAAGATGAGCTTTTTGGTTTGGTGGCTATCTCATTTCCTTCTCCACTATCCTCATCAGAATCAAATTCATATTCATTCACTCCAGCATCACGTCTTTGGGTTTCATTGTCGATACACCACTCCTTATAAGCTTCAGTTAACATCTTGAACTTGGCGATTTTATCTTTGCTGAAAGCGGTTTGGATATTCCGAATCCATTTGGCGTGTTCTAATTTGACTGTCGGATGTTCTACAGTACCTTGCATATCGACGTCTATACGGTTTACAGCATCCCAATAAGTAACAAGGGCCAGACAATACGTAAGTTTCTTTATCTCTCTCTCTTTTTTTTTTTTTTTTTTGGGTTTTTATGGATTCTAAGGTTTTTTTTTTTTTTTCCATAACACTGGGCCTGTAGCTCGTAGCTATTAACAACTTGACTTTCAATCGTAACACTGGACTTATTATTCGTAACACTGGACATCTTGGCTTCGACTTAACACCGGCCACTAACGTAACACTGGACTATAACGTGGCCGCTTTTCCTGACTCCTCATTTTTGCAGAGGTAGTTCTTTGGGTTGGATGGTGGAGATAATGAAGGAGAATATGAGGAAATTAGAAATAGTAAGGAATTTAACTTACCGAAACCCACAGTCATATTTCCGACTTCGTTGGAACCATTTTCATTTTGCTGACATTCGTTGATTTGTTCGTTGACTTGAACGTCACTTTCATTCATAAGAACTCCTCTTCTTTGTGGATCTTCTCTTCCTTGTGCCTCTAGTTCGATACCCGTAGGTTTCGCTTCCTCCTTTTGAGTCTTCGAATTCTTGGTGTTTTGCTTTGTACCTTTCCCTTTTCCCTTCTTTTCTTTTACACTTATCTCTTTCTCGTTCAATTGATCCATCGTTTGAATTTGAGTATCAACACCTCCATCTACTTGAATCTCATCAATTTTCTCTAATGTATTGTTGCTTTCTTGTGTTATCTCTTGCGTCGTAACTATTGAGGGTCCCGGAGTTGGCCCTCTGGGTCTTAATGTCCTTCCGTGTAATAAACTAGCCATTGATTGTTGAATTGATTGTTGAGACATTGTTATTGTTGTTGTTCTTGGTGGGAATTTTTGAAAACAAGAAAATTTTACGAGAGAAATGGAGGAAATGTTTTGATGAGCTGTTTGCTGCTATAAGCTGATGATGAAGTAGATGGGTGGTGAAAACTCTGGTTTTCTCTCCCACCCTTCTCCGATGTGAACATCGTTGTTCTACCATCTTCCCGGTACCGTGATATCTCTGGTACCGGTCCTTTCCACTTTGGGGTCTGCTCTCTTTGAGTTACATGGAACTTACAGGTGCCGTCGTTCCTTTGGGCACCTGTATCACTCTTGCGAGTAAGATGTCTTTTTTTTATAGAGAATGGGATGTGTATTGATATATGGGAATGGGTCAAAAACAGTGTCTTGGATAATGGAATAGCTGGGTCACAGAAAAGGCATCCACTCTTAGACTTAGTTCTTCATCCACTCATCTCATATAGGATGAAAGTACAATGATTTCATGTCAAAGAATTGGATGCCCAGAAGGAAATAGTTATTTGCTTTCCAGGACCCCGGTATGCTCCTATAAGGGGTACTGATTGTCTAGAATTGTGACTTTTGAGCTCCTGCAGAGATACAACACACAAGATTATGTACATTGCTTGCATGATTTCTGCCGGGTTCTTCCCATTTCAGAGTTGCTACAACCTTGATACAGCTGATTGGAAAAATTAAACTTGTCCTAGAGCTACGGGTAAAGCCAGGGAGCAGTTTCTGTGGAAACTCAAAAGTCACATTTTCAGATCAGTACCTCTTATAGGAGCATAACAGGGTTCTCTCTTTCCCTAGTTCTCAAATTTCATCTATCAAAAAACTTGTCAAACTAAAGAATATATTTTGTAGTCATCCATATCATCATTCTGAAACTTGTTTTTCCTATTATTCTCTTAAAAATTTTACAGATAAATAAAAAAATCTTTTACCCCCCACTCACTCAAGCTAAAATTAAAATAAGCTGAAGTTGTGTTTCCTTTTCCAGTACAAATTTTTGTTTTGAAAGAGAGCAAAAAACAAATTCTTTTGATAGGGGTTGGACAAAATTTTGACCAACCGGTCTTGTGCCTCTCAGAAGTTTGGCAAAAGCAGTTGAAGACGGCCAAATCCAAGCTTTCTGGGTTACTTTGTGGGGTTATCTGGCTTTAGCTCAGGTCTGATCTTTCTCCTCCTTCTTCTGCCAATCACTAAAAAAATTCCTGCTTGATCTGCCATTTCTGCTTTGCTTCCCATCAGATAGACAGTTTTTGACTGACTTTGAGTATGGTCATTAACTCAGTTGCTTGATAATTTAACAAGATCCACAGACTAGGAGATTTCTGATTTGATTAAGATCAATTCGTAATTTCTTGTAACTTGTCAAGAAAACAATCAAGGCCTTTTTGCATAGAATTGCCTATGCGAAAAGGGTTATGGGCCTCAATTTCAAAGACTTGAGTCCTAATCAGGTCTGAGCTCAGCACAAGAGAGCCTAGGCGGTACCCAGGTAAGCTTTTGACAAAAGAGAAGGGTCTGGAGATCTGTGAAAGGTGAAAAAGTGGTGTTTGTGTGGCTCTTAACAGCACAAATTGATTTTCCCTGTAAGAATATTGTGTGGGTACAGCCAACCCTGGGCCAGAGACGCAACACACCACACCAGGCCAATTTTGAGTTGTGTTGCTCCACAACATGGACCAGAAGCCTGCGACACCTGTTGCATTGCATGGAGTACCGTAACATCAAATATCTAGGCATGGTTGTGCTGTGCCCTTGTCTGTCACGCAACGCAACAGGCACAACAGAACCAAAAAACATAAAAAACATAAAACAGTGCTTCCTTCATTACATTTGCATACAACCTGTATTCCAACTATAATCATTTCAAAAAAGGATGAAGAACTTCAATGTTTTCAAAAACACAACTTGCGGTGGAGGACTGCAACGTCACGCTTTGCTACAGTCAGGAAAAAAAACTCAAGGTGTGTGTTGCGCTGCGGGTCAGACCACAACCTGAAGGTGAGATCTGTGGTGCAGTGCAGACCAGCAAAGCCCTGGCGCACCTGCAGTGCAGCACGCAACACGTGCGTTTCTGGACCAGGTTTGGTACAGCTTTGGCGTGATCAAGAACAGGTCATACTGGTCTACTTTTTTGAGAAGCAAAGAGATAGATAAAAATGTTGGTTGGTTAAGAGTGGCTTTGATATTGCTTTTGAGCCATCTTGAAACAATTCCTAAAATGTTGAACTATGATGAAATAGTGTTTGTAAACTAGTTGGTTTAAAGTTTGCCCAACCCCTGATATGTGTCTTCATAATAAACTGCTTTATATGATAATCAGTAGCAGAAAGTTGTTGTCAGATCAGATGCATTTCGTACAGCCAAGGGTGCCACTATACTATACTAGTATAGGTATAGTTGGGTATAGTATGGTTTAAATTGTATTATACTATAATCAGTATAGTATAGTTGAAACTGTACTTTACTCAAGTATACTCAGTATAGTATCAATTGATCAACTATACTTGGACAAGGCTTGTACATATTTAACATCAGCTTGTTCAACTATACTGTGCAGTATAGTATAATATATTAGAGTACAGTTGTACTATACTATACAAGGTATAGTTCAAGTACAGTATAGTTGTACTATACTATATCAAGTACAGGCTCAGTATAGTATAGTATAGTATAGTATAGTATAGTATAGTATAGTATAGTATAGTATAGTATAGTATAGTATAGTATAGTATAGTATAGTATAGTATAGTATAGTATAGTATAGTATAGTATAGTATAGTATAGTATAGTATAGTATAGTATAGTATGGTCTCATCTGGTACTGGTACACCACCAATCAAATCAAGCACAGTCAGGACCTACTTGTTGGGCATCCAGGCCTGGCATCTATTTCATTATGCTGATTATTCTCATCAGGCAATCCCAAAGTTCAAAGTGTTATTGAAAACAGCTGCAAAGTTAGAATCAATGTGATTGCCCAAAGTTCCAAAGAGTCCAGTCCCAGTAGAACATGTGTTTAAAATATTGTATACATTGTTGTGAGGAGGGATCAAAAAACAGGTTGCCTACACAGTCACATTAGTTGCCTTCTGGGGTATGACATGACTGGGTGAACTTTTGAAACCAGTGGCGAGTAATAATAAAGTTAGAGTTCAAAATGTAGTCTGGGATTCTATGAACCACTTTCTAAGGATTTGGATTAAGAGACAAAGGTGGTGGCAGTAGGGGAAGTGCAAGAGATAAATTGTTAACATCAGGCCTTCTGGATAGAACTTCTTGGTGCAGTGAAACATATTATTCTTTCCATGGAAGCAATGTGAGATGATCTGCTTTTCGCGTATCTGTGTGGCCATAGACCAGTGATATTGAGAAAGACTTGATGACAGAAGATTTTTGAAGAGGTGTGGAAATCAAAATTGGGAATGAAGCTGACTGGACACTCATTTTGAGTGGGTGCTGCTTCATTGAGATGTAATTTGGTAGCCCCTTGGAGGAAATAGTGGCATTTGGCAGATGGAGATCCAAAGGCCTATAAGCTGTACATCAGAGACACATGTCTGAAAAGGCATAAGCTGCCTTGACGGCATATCACCCTTCTTACAAAGAACTCATTACATATCAATGATCTACATGTAATCAACCAATTACGTGTACTAACAATAAAAAGAAACATGTAATACTTAATTACATACAAATAAACGCATGTAATCATCAGGTACATGCATAATAGCGCACAAACTATCATTTGCTATCTCATTTGATATTCAGTTATCCATTTTTACTTAGTCTATTTTCTATTATTTCTGTTTCTACGTGATATTTATAATACATCATTTGAACAAAGAAAGTACACACAGATCAATTTGGAAGATGATCCTGTGTGATTTTTTATGATAATCTTTCTAACAACCACATGTAGCCTTAGTTCAAGCAACTAATATGGATTGGGAACCCAACCTAGCAGCTTTAAAACTGATCTTCTTGGCATGTGATGGCCGCCAAGAAGGGAAGTCTAGGGCTCTTGTGCTAAAAGGAAGGGTTGCTGTAGAATGAATTACACAGGTGAACCAGGGTTCTATGAGAACATGAAGATCACTACAGACACACATCTTATTTTATTAATCACATGTGATCATCTACAGATCAATGATCAGTTGTTCAAGGGAGTCGCTCAGATTAACCTCCTTGTTATGTTTGCCTTATGATTCTGTGTGCTTGGTTATTGTTCAGATGGGTATATATATAAACCCCTGCTTTTGTCTTGTTTCTTTTCTCTCATCCGTTACAATAACAACCAAGTTTGCATAGATTAACAACCACTCAATCTGTCCATATCTGCCTTCAAAAGCCCTTATAAGTCTCTTTTAAGCGCTATTACATTTCTGCTATTTATCTCTTTGACAACATTGTGAAACACTGTCCTACATATGTAAAACATATGTAATCAACCTATAACAGGTACATATGAACTATTACATGGTGGATTCCTTGCTCAATAATTTTCCTTATCTACAACATGGATATAAAAACACACAATGTTTGTTGGAGGATCTGCAAATAGTTCAGAGTTTGAAGCTTGGGATGATCATAGTAGATGTCCATTCAATCTTTTTTGTATAACTTACTAGGAACCTAAGATGTGTTAGCTGAGAAATCTGAAGCCAGAGTTTTTGGAAGGGGGAAGCGTAGGTGGTTCTTGGGGTGCTTGACTCAGGCCACTGTAGATGTGAGATCACAGCTAGAACAATGTCCCGAGTCATGGGGAAGTACTCTGCCATCTACAGTCACAGGTAGACCTGCTCCCCTCAGTGCTGCCCCTCCAGAAGACCTAAGCCTCTATCATTATGGTACAAGTAGGTTTGGTTTAACTAGGACATACTCTATGACCAGTAGATAATACATAATCAAAATTATAAATTTAGGGTGTTCAAACCTCAAAATCAATTCATGCAAGTTTTGTGCAAGTTCTGTGCAAGATATGAATAGAACTTGCACGGATCTTGCACAAAACTTGCAAGAGTCAGTCTCGCACAGTTTTTGCACGGTTTGGAACACAATAACTCGGGTTGTCAAAAAAATTAATGTGCAAGATTAGTGCAAAAAATCTTGCACGGATCTTGCACAGATCTTGCACGCCGGTCTTGCACAGATCTTGCACAGGTTTGAACACCCTAATTATAAACAAAAAACAATTGTTTGGCTCCCAAACCTAGATATCACAAAGTAGAGAGTGGATTATGAATTAGAACACATGTTGGTTTTTTAGAGAGATTTTCAAGTTCAGTTTGTTTTGTATCTCTTTGATGATTAAAAACTCATGACTCTGAGCTCCTATTATTCTATTGGTTGAATAGTTTGCATTTTATTTGGGGATCCAAAGATACAATATTGGGTAAATGTATATGTATGGCATAGATGATGATGAGATGATGTTTTACAGATCGGAAAAATTGGTTTGGTTGAAGGAGATATGTAGAAGATAATTATGAAATGGTAATTTCTTAGGAGATGATGAAGTCAAACATGTACTAAGAAAGATGAAACCATCATTATTTGGCATATACCCTTTTCTTATACCAAGAAGCTATTTTGTGTCGGAGTGATATGTAGGCTTATCTTCACCCTGAGAAGAAATATGACATGTACCAACTGACCATTCTGGGAGTAGGTTGATCTGCTGAAGTTATTTTATTATGAGTCATGCATTGAAGCTTTTTTTTTCTTCATTTGCCTTTCATATTCAACTTCATGTCTGTTTATCCCAGTTATTGCAAACAAGAGATTCCAAGGGTCGCAAAGATTATCATTCAAGCCTCTCACGCTCGAAAGAAGGCTCTTTATGGCATCAGACTCACAACACAACCAAATTGAGAAATCTCATGAAAGGTATCTCAAACCTCTTTCGAGGTCAAGGAAAAGTTTAGAAAGGTCAGGATCAAAAATCCATTAAGTTTTGTTCCAAATCCAAAGAAATAAGAAACGATAATTCGAGAAAAAAGGTAGAACAAGAACTTTGTAGATTGAGAAAGTTTTAAAGAAAAAGTAAAAGTAAAATAGTGAAATGATGACTGAGGTACTAAGAGACAGAAAAAAAAGAAACCTTGTAAAGAAAAATCGATCAAGTAAAACAAATCAAACTTTTATGCTATGATACTGTTACAACAAGATAGAAATCAAAAAGGATATAAATTAATGAAACTAGAAAAAAATGACTTCTATGCAATTTCGATGAACTGATGACTACTGATCAACCATATGAGATGATGTAAGGTAAGGTGAAAAAAGATATACAAGGAGAAAGCAAAACAGAGAAAGAAGAGCTCAAGATCGAGGTAGAGGACTAGAAAGTTTTCCCGGACTATCTTCTATGATGATCTCAAGGACCTCTGTTTCTTCCTCTGGCAATGGTAAAATGTGGACTATAGGCGTCTCATAACACCTATAGAATGGAATGGATTGGTATCGCTACCATCCTGGGATTCACGTGGTCGAGTTCCACTTGGGCGCGTGGTCGGCCTCGAGTTCTCCCTGGCCTTTATCGTGCTGGCGTTCTGCCGGTTCCGAGGCCTTGATGCATTGTTTCTCGACATGCGGCGGTCGACTTGTTGAACTCGGTCTGGGGTGACCTGCTCGGTGTCCGTCGTGGAGCTTTCGCCGTACATGAGGCGGCGAGTGCGAGAGCTCATTCTGAGCTCCCTAGATTGAATTTTCCCATCTGACAAAAATGAATATCGAACATGTGTCGGCTAGCAGTCATTACTAAGTACTGAAGCGAGAAATACCTTACGGTTAGGGATTTGACGTCCTGAGCGTCTAGGAGTGACCAGGTCGCTTCCGCCAGCTTCATTCTCCGTACCATTTCTCGCAATGGTCCCGCTGCGGGAGGTGATTGGAGCGAGAGATTCAGTAGCCACGGGTTGAGCGTTTTGGCTGGTCATCTTGATGGTTTTAGGATAAAAAAATAAGGGCGAAGAGTTTTGATGAGGTATAATTAAATCAAAAAAAGAGGCAGTAGGAGAGGATAAGAGTGATTCAGACTAATGAAAGGTTTGGGTAAAGGATTTCTAATCAAGTTTAGCAGGTGAAATGATGTGTTTGTTGTGATTGATGAGGTTCGAGGTTGAGGGTGAGATAAGCACTTTTTATACGTGATTTCGGAGCTCATCATCAACGGAACTCAGGAACACCTCAGGCAACCTCCACGCGCATGAAGCTAGACAAAGGCACCATTTCGGCTGGCCAAGCTCAGGGATTCAATACCACACATCCAGCCATCAAGTGTTGAGGTTGATGATGCATGACGTGATCAGAAGGCAGCGCATGAGCTCTGTGCCTGGACTCATTGTGTAATGCCGCACACAAAACACAACATGTGGAAAGGAGTATGTTACATCTACATTTTCGAGGAAGAAAGCTCTGGCCCAAGTCAAAATCAAGGATATTGTGGACAAGGATCTAGGACAATGGCGTGCTGTGGACCTGGATGATGACCTCTTCACTGAGGAGCATTTTGGGAGTTTACGCGACGAGTTTTGACTGATTGGAACGGCCGATTGAAGATAAGGTCGAAGTGGGGCATAAAGATCACGGTGCTTTTGGCTACGAGGCTACAAATTTGTTTGCATTCACAGTAAAGGTTTGCATACCTAGGACAGTTGGTAGCACGGGTCAGATTCAAAGCTAATGAGTTACAGCAGACCGAACAAATGAGGGTAACGGAGTAGGGATCTCTGTTGCTCATCAAAAGTTGTAGATCACAATATGGAGCATCCCATGATAGACAGAGCCCTGCTTAGTGCGGCGTTCCAATATCAACAAGAATTATACAGAGATATTCAACCACAAAAGTCTTCCTGATACATATGAACCTGTCAGAAATCTCGTTCTACAAAAATGTTCATGTTGCGTTTGAAATTTATCCAAAAGCTGTCTCTCTTCATAACAATAAGAGTTCATGTAGAAGGCTCATAAACAGGCACAGGGAGCCAAGACAACAGGGATCAAAAAAGTCAGCTCCAGTTTGTTTTCATCAATCAGAATCACCGAGCCTGACAATCGCACAAACCTACAAAAGGTGATCTTAATACTTCCGCTTCTCCTCATCAGCCAGCAGTTTCTCGCACAATACCCAAAGTGCTCGACCCAGCTTTCCATCGGCGTCTTGAGCGTATCTGCTCTTTCTACCGAGCTGTCCATATGGGACTAGGTAAGCTCCTCTAGTAGAGTTTGTGCAATCAAGACAGGAATAGTCATTCAATACTTCAGTTGATCGTGGGGAAAACCAAGCCTAGCTCGAGTTAAAAAATATGTCTGAGCTCACCTCAAGTTCTTCGTTTCGATTTCAGGGGAGGTTGCAGCATAGAGCTGAGTCTGTGCGCCTTGTTTTGAATCACTGATGAGCAGATTGATCAGTGGGTCCTGGTATGGCCCGGGGGATCATATCAGTCACCAGTGACATAGTAACTGAGGAGATTGAACTTACAAAGAGCCAAAGAAGCCCAAAAAAGATGACTGCGTAGAATCGTAATCCGATCAATTTCAATGACATTAAGATATCACTGACTGAAGCTGAGCTTAATGATTCAGGTTGTGTTTGACTTGGTAATAGATGGTCACCCAATCCGGTGTACACAACCCCTGGATGCTTTATCAAAAGGTCAGTCGTATTGTTTTACACTGAAGATTCATTCTAACTACACAAAAATGGATGACTTACTACTGCTAAACAAATTATGTTTGTATCTTCCAATCGTTTTTGAAGTTCATTGTTGAAAAGCAGGTTCTGTAAAATATCGTTACAAAGTCAATTACCATCTAATGTACTCTTTTGGTCACAACATATCGCTAGAGGAAGATTCGCTGTGGAAAAAAGGCTCACACATAGCTTGCTCATCTTGTATCGAGCCCATCCACTTGAAGATTTGAGATTCAAACTTTCAAGAGAAGAAAAGTCTGGTTTCGAAGCAGAAATATGACCTAAACTTGACACATTTACAACTCGTACGTGAGAATCTGGCAAGCTTGAAGTCTTTTTTAAGATCGGTAAAAGCTCAATGGTCAAGGCAAAATGACCAGTGCAGTTGCATGCCTGGAGGTCTATTCCATCCGGACTTAACTCATAGGGAGTCATACACTGATCAAATTATTGATTGTCAGTTTACACATTGTTGAGCAGAAGTAGGTACAGAAACCTCAGACTCAACTACTCCAGCATTGTTCATCAGAATATCGAGGCGGTTCTCATTCTTCATAAACTCGATCGCTGCCTTCTTAGCAGATGACAAGATGGTAAGATCGAAATAAAGAAACTCGATTTGAGCCTCTGGGACTTCTTCCTTGATTTTCGAAATTGCAGACTTTGCTCGAGATTCGGTACGAGATGCCATGCTGTGAAGATAGAAAGAAAATTGATCAGACTAGACTCAATCGTTTTGACTCACTCGGCGATATCTTACTCACTATACCTTGGCCCCATGACGAGCAAGTTCAAGGCAGGATGCGTAGCCTAATCCCCCGTTCCCACCTGGCTCAAGAAAATGAGCACACAAGCCCAACAAGGTAAGTTGATATCTCGATCTTCTAGTCGCACCTCGCAATGAAAACGTAGGATCATCTCACCGGTGACGATAGCTACCCGGCCTTTGGACACACAAGAAAATCCAATTCTCAATTTCAGTCCTTGCCTGGTCACTTGCATAGGAGCGAAGGACAGATAAGAGAGAAACTTGAAAATACCTGATAGGTCCGGCATTTGACTGACATCGAAGCGTTTGTCCCGTTGTAAAATATTCGCATTCAGATAGCACTTGGCCGTGTCAAGGGTGCACATGAGCTGGTCGAACATCGTTGTATTCGTAATTTAGTATGTGGTGGCCGAGTCAACCCAAAAGTGTGTCTGTCTTGATCCAGTTCGCGTACAGTTACTTTTGGAAGAAACCTGAATGACATCACCCTCCATGCAGTAGTTGGGTTGAGATACCACCTTGCGTGCTCTTGCGTGGCTGTGATACTGCATGCCAATTTCAAATGATCTGTCATGGCTTGGCCTCGGCCGAGCGACTGGTCGTGTGGGCATGGCGAGAGTGATTGCGAGTCTGGACAAGCTCCAACTTACGATGGACGAGAGAGGAGGGTGGAGGACAAACCTCAAAACCCGAAACACAAACCTGTATTGCCCTGTACAGATACTCGATTTTCGAGTAGGTCTGATCAAACCTCGCCAAAACGTCGTAGAAACAATCCAGATCACTCAACAAGTTTTGCAAAAACCCAACAAACATCCAGGAATCAAGTACAAGTTTAATTGATTTGAGTTTATAATCGAAGACATCAAAAGTTTTGTCTTTTGACCAGATCAGGAGAGCAAGGCATGATTTTCACTACTTCAAATGCAATTAGTCTCTTGGGTTGGATTTCTGTTTCTGAGTCTGTTTCTGATCTTTGTTTCGACATCAATGTTGAATTTTCAAATTGGACTCAAACTTTGAGATTTTCCTATTTGGTATCATTGCACAAGAAGGAAACTGAACATCTATCAGATGTTAACTTAACAAAGTCCCTCTCGCGGCTGTTTGTCTGTTGAGTGAAATGTGTTGTTCACCAAGTCAGTCAGAATGCTTTGATTTTGGAAAGGTGAGACATTGAGATTTGTCTGTGATGTTGAAAGAGTGTATATTTCAAAGCAAATCTTTTTGTTTGATAAAAAGGTCAAAAGAAACCATAGTTAAATCGTGAGTTTAATTCATTCTAGATGATTTAAAAACTTGCTCGTTATCATGATGTGATGATGAAACTGTATCTCAATTGGGAGCCGTCTGGAATCGTCTCTGGCTTCGTCTGGATTGTTTCTACGACGTTTGGCGAGGTTTGATCAGAGCTACTCGAAAATCGAGTATCTGTACAGGGCAATACAGGTTTGTGTTTCGGGTTTTGAGGTTTGTCCTCCACCCTCCTCTCTCGTCCATCGTACCAACTAGCTCAATTTGCCTGCGCTGCATGAAGAGGGACTCGCCAGGACTCACCATAGGTTTGTCGGAATTCAGAAGTGAAAAGTGCAAGTCGAAGTGGATGTGAGTTTCTCAATTTGTGAGTCCCCGATGAGCAGTGCGCTTCATGAGGCCGCACTCGAGGCACGCTATTTGGGGGCCGACTTAAGCTGACTGCAATTCGTGAATAGACCAAGACACACAACTCGATATGAAAAGTTTTTGGTCTCATCATCTTGGTTGATGAGTAACGTCCAGTCTTCAGTGCTTTGTGCAACAAGACGCCATTTAAGTAGAGGTTTTTAGGTTGAGGTCATCCAGACCAAGTAGTTTTTGGCACGTTCTTCTGGATGTGTGATAAGTGATGAGATGGAGAAACTGGCATTTCTTTGACTCAGCAACCACTATTGTACATGATGCATACCCCCTTGAGTATTCCACAAGCATCACAGACATGATACGGGTACCAGTCCCATTCACATTGCGAGACTTCCCCAAGCAAAAGAGCTTGTTAACAGCCAATGTAGGTCAATAACACGAGGAGAATCCATAATCTTGAGACACTGGCCGATCGAGGTGTCTTGAATCCCTTGGCAGCACATTGATAATCAAATCTCGCCAAATAGTGATTTTTCGGAGCTGATCACGATCAAATTACCGGAAAGAGAGAAACACCGGGGCCAGGCAAAGGGGTTCACCTAGGGGTATGACCCGGCCCTGGACCCGTCCGGCCGAGTCTGCCCGAGGGGTTTCCAAGTCATCACGGTGCTCGGCCCGGTGCCCTAGCCCTAACTTGAGGATAGAGCCAAAAGGCCCTGTTCCAGGGCCACTCGGGGCCGGGGCCGCCGTAAAATTCACCGCCAAAGAAAGGGTGAAAGGGTTGTTGAGGCATCTTCTACCCCTTGGGCCCTTTGTCGTACCCTCGCACCCTTTCACACCCCCTTGTTATCGATTTTCATCCACCCCAATGTCACGACGAAGCCTTCGTCGTGAGGTCACTGATCCGCAACCAACCACCGATCCACAAACCAACAACATGTCCACCACCTCCAGTACCACTTCTAACTCCATTGCACCATCTGACTCGGTCTCGGCAGTGGCTAGTGCCGTCGAATCCGAACATACTGCCACCAACCGTACCTCTTGGGTGTGGCAGTATTTTGCGACTGTTACGTTCAGGGACGGCACCACCTCGAATGTCTGCCGTGCCAACAAAGGTCGTGTTGACAAGGTTCCAGACTTGGAAGCGCCTGTTGTCGTGTGTCAAGAGCCGATTGCCATCGATAAGACTGGAAGTACAAGATCAATGAGCCGCCACCTCTTGCGTGCTCATGGCATTGCTGCTCCGATTGACACCTCCCAACAAACCCTCACAGCGTTTTCTGCAAATGGAAAAACTAGTAGTGTAAGTCGTTCTGCTATTTTTTCATCTCTTTATTCATCTTTTCTAATATCTTTCTTTTTTTTATTTTCAAGATGGGATCTCTCAATAGGCGAAACCTCACAAATGCAGTCATTCGCCTAATTGTCAATCAAGAACTCCCAGTAGCTCTTGTTGATGCCCCATCCTTCCGCGAACTTTTATCTTGGATCAACCCAGCTGTTGCCCCTATCTTATCGAAACAAACCGCCATCACCGACGGTATCATTTCTCAATTCCGACTTGCTCGTAACCGTCTCACTGCCATCTTTGCTTTGTTGGACTATATCAGCATCACTTGTGATGCTTGGACTTCACCTAGTAGCATACCGATGCTTGGAATTACTGCACACTGGATGACCGACAACTTTTCGATGCAATCGGTGGTTTTAGCTTTGAAGGAAATCGATGGAGCCCATACTGGTAAAAACATGGCGTCTCTCATCAAGCACACATTAGATCAATTCAGTATCACCGAGAAACTTCACTGCATTACTGCTGATAATGCTTCGAACAATCAAACCATGGGTCGAGAACTTCAACTGCTCATACCTCATTTCGATGCCGAGAAGAACCTCCATGGCTGTGTCGCCCATGTTATCAATTTAGTCGCCAAAGCCGGAATCTCGATTTTCGACAGCAAGACTCCTCCTGATCCTCTCAGTGCTTTAGATCCTCAACTACCTCAAGATAATGATATTCCCAATGGTACTAATTCTTTGATTGAACCTACTCCGCATCTCGAAGTCCACTCAATCTTAACTTGAATTCGCGGCTTCCATAAAAAAGTCCGATTGAGCACCCAGCTCAAACAGGCTCTGGACCAGTGCATTGCCACTTCCTCACAGCCTCGAAAGGTCGGACTGATTCATGAGGTTTCAACTCGATGGTCTTCAACTTTTTATTCTCTCGAGAGATTCTTTGAACTCAAGAAGGTCCTTCAGTATTATTGCAATATCAACGATAGTTTAGAACCTTTCACCCTAACCGAAGACGAATGGATCTTGGTTGGCAACTTAGTCAAGTTTCTCCGACCTCTTGCGATCGTGATCAAGGAGATTGAAGCTGAAAAGTATCCCACTTTCTCACTAGCAATGCCTGACTATCAATGGCTCATTGAAAAACTCAAAAAAGTAAGTTTTCTTGCCATATTAACTCGTTGATATTTACACTAGTTCTAACCCATCTTTTTACCAAACATAGGCATGGGCCGCATCTGAGTGTACCAACTTGAAGGCAGCGATTCATCCTATGGTCAAGAAATTAGTCCGATATTCAACATTAGCTTTGAAGAAGCCTGTTTACATATGTTCCCCAATTCTCGACCCTCGCCGAAAGCTCAACGCTGTGACTGCTTTTACTTTGGAAGAACTTGGATTCGACAAAGATCAACTCATAGAATACTTTACCGAGCAAGCTCGCAAATTCAAACCCCCTCAAGATCCTGATATTGAAATCGTCGAATCAGACCCTGTGCTCGAAGATGACGATGATAGACCACACCACTTTATCAAACGACGCAAATGTATTCAACTTGAAGACGAAGTGCGGGAGTACCTTCTTGCCCCTCTTGTGGATGAACGTACCGATGTATTAACCTTCTGGAAAACGAATCACACAAACTGGCCAATTCTCTCTCGGATGGCTATGGTCATGCTTGCTATTCCTGCTTCAGGTGGCCCTTCAGAAAGAATTTTTTCAGCTGGAGCAAGGGTGATGTCTGATAAACGATCACAGATGACCAATCAGAACTTTGAAGCTCAGATTTGTCTCAAGTCGTGGGGGATGATTCTTTCCATGTAGTTTGGCTTGTCTTTTTTTTACTCTAAAGTTATTTAATTTGTTTCTCTACACTCGTTAACAGTCTTATACTTGTTTATCATTTCTTTACGCTCTTTTGTTTCCTTTTTACAATGTTTTTTTTTGTTTTTGTATCGGTCTATTTTGCTCAATTAACTTGGTTTGTGCCCTTCAACCCCCTCACAAACAGCTGGCCCGCCCCGGGCCTAAAGGCAGGCCCGACCCAGTGCCTGCCCGTGCCTGCCCGCTAGCTCTCTGAGGCACCTCGGGCCGGGGCCGGCTTTGGCCCGGCCCCAGGGCCGGACCCGAAATTGCGTTGCCGGGTCATACCCCTAGGTTCACCCAACAGTGATCGGTCACCGAGGGGAATTCTTGAATGGTGGTCAAGTAACTTGTGCTCTCAAATGTCGGTAGCGTTTGTTAGGAGGCCCACCGCGCAAATCCAACCACATGAGTTATCTTCGGTTGTCATTGGCTGTTGAGGGCTCCCGTCGAGTGCGAGGTTTCTGTTATCTCGAGTACCTAAATTTTTGATGATAGGATTGCATCTTGCATCTGCTTTATTCTTGTACCATCCCTTTGCACATTGATCGACAGCTTCATCCATACCTTTTCCTAATCGATTCGCTTGTGTGGCGCCCGGTGCGCTAGTAGATCTTAAATCTGAATCATCGTAATCACGTATCCTCCACCGAATCCGTCTCTCAAAGTCTCTGCCCTTTGGATTCAGTTTTGGTCGGAAACTTCTCAAACGTTCACCTTCAAGCCAGAGTCTTTTCTCGATGCTCCCTCGGATCATTCTAGTAGGACTGATTTTACTGCAGGAGACGACTTCAATACCTTCTCAAGGAAATAACAAGCTGGAGAAGAGAGGCACTCCGGAAGACAGCACGAAAGCTGCTCAAGATCTCAAAATAATCAAAGATGAGGTGGAAAAGGGTCTGAAAGAGATGGGGAAATATCTGAAAGAAGTCAAGGACGCAGCAGCTAAGAAAGGGTAATATTCAGGTTTACATTTCTAGGGCTTAAGATAGGTTCAATGCTGACTACCACCCACGCTGTCTTCCAAATTGCGTTTAGGGCCCTCAAGCCTGATTCAGAGCTAGATAAAGTAATAAGCGTCTTGGAACCCGCCCTCAAACAAGGTGCAGGTGCAATATCCGAAATTGGAAAGAACTTGGCCAAAGGACTCCCACCGGTGAGTGGTCCTAATTCAGGCCATCATCAAGGAAGGGACGAGACATGCTGAATCCCAATCTTATCTTATTCGTGCCAAAAGGAGGCCGGGAAGAATCCAAAGGCCCTAGCGGCACAACAATTAAAAATAGCCGTGGAAGGCTCGTCCAAGCTTGTGACACTGGTGACGTGAGTCACTCCGGAGCCTCATAAATCAAAGATTTGTGTCAAGTCTCTAACCCGAATTATGCCTCAAACCTCTTCAGGGATATACCTAATGCCGCCGTTCCTCTACAAGCATACGAAAACGCTTTTCAACTTGTGGTTCAAGCTGGGTTGCAATTGTTAGCAGGCGGAAAACCAAACCCCAAGAAACCAGATGACAAGTCTAAAACAGACTCCCTAATCGATAAATCTAACACGGAGACCAAGAAAGTCAATCCACCAAACGTATTAGTCTCTTCTTTATCGACTTCAAGTTTTTTTGTAAATTCAACACCGTCGGAGCCCGAACCAAAGAACTTGGCTGTGATCCCTAAACCTCAAGCTCTGAACGGTACTACACCTCCCATTGGAACTCCCGGAAAAGAAGAAAAGACGGAGAAACCAGTTTTAAAATCCGACCTGACTTCAATGTCAAATGCACTACAAATACCTACTTGGAGCCTACAAATCTCACTCTGTTTTTTGATACAGACAGGGCTATTTTGGACTTCCAGCCTACTATGATGATTAGAAGGAAAGCTTAACAAGTAACATATAAGTTTTTGTGAGGATCATGGTTAGTCTGAAATAAATTCAACTGGTCAATATCATTACCTCATCAGAATCCTTCCATGTCTGTGGATCTTGGTCCAGATTTCAATGTAGTCTTAGACAAACCGATGTCAAAACCTTGGACCTCTCCCATGCATTAGGAGAACTCCGATATCGCGCTTGAATTAATGTTTGTATCTCTAAAATGTTGTACATTGTAATTACCTTTGATTTTTCAGAGATGTTTCCAAAAAGACCAACGTATGTATATCATCATGATGAATCCTAAACTCGGCCCCAGTCAAAAGTACAAATTCAACTGAATTATGCACACGAGTAGGTTTCAGTAAGAGAATGAGGCACACGAGTGAGCAATTGATATAAGGATCCAACGTTACGAGGACACAAAGGATAAGAATATATCACTGCCATGATATCGCGGAGACAACAGACCCTATGCGCAAAAGTAGATCCCAGTGATGAAGAACACAAGTGAGAAAGAGATAAAAGTAACCAATGGCACGAGAAAACTCAGCCACATACATCAACACTTTTTGAATCCCTCGCTTGAGGTTGACACACAAATGGCAGCTGATGGCTGAACTTCTGAAGACACCGAATGTGCATTGAGTAGGCGGCCGGGGCAGACGTATCCGACCCGAGTCTGGTCTCAAAGAGGGTTTTCGGGGCCAAGTTGGGAATTTTTAACATTTTTCTGCGCCTGGAGACGTTTGGTGTATTCCGATATCCTCATAATTTCCTTGTCAACTCCAGCAATATGCCACCAGGATCAAGAGCGTCACGCGGCGGACGAAATAAAGGCCATCGTAATTTTGGAAATCGCGGGAGAGGTCTCGGTCGTACCGTGAAGGACATTAGCCTTTATCAGTCTGATGGATGGAACAACGACCGACCTGAATCACTTGTCCAAGATCAAGGAAGCAGCGACGCAGATTTAGACAAGGATGAAGATGAAATCATACAAGGTATATATTCAAGACATTTACGATGTTTTCCTGGTCATACATTAATGTTGTCATTGTATGAAGCGGGACCATCTACTACCGAACCATCTCAGCAAGTCAAGCCTATTGCGATCGCGATGTGGGTCAGTCCAAAGGCTCTTCGAAAACCACGCAGCCATGTATCAATACCACTCCCTTCCACTTCCTAGGATTTTGATCATTGTGATCCCCGAAAGTGCACGGGGAAGAAGTTGTCCCGTCTTGGTATGATAACTGAACTGAGGGTTGGTCAACGTTTTCGGGGTATCGTTTTGAGGTAAGTTTTGTACTCTGCAGCTACACCAGAAGTGTCATTCACAGATTGACAGAATTTTTGATGAGAGAACAGCCCCGAAGGTACCACACCAGTGTCCCCCATTGACCGCGAACTGATTGACCAATCTGGTATTGCTGTGGTCGAATGCTCATGGGCTCGACTATCCGAAATCCCGTTCAACAAAATTCGATCAACTGGTGATCGGACTTTACCCTACCTTATCGCAGCGAATCCAATCAACTACGGTAAACCCTTCAAGCTGACATGTGTAGAAGCTATTGCTGGGAGTCTTGCAATTGTTGGGTTTCAAGCTGAGGGGGAGAGACTATTGGCCAAGTTCGGTTGGGGCGATGGATTTTGGGCTTTGAACAAGTGAGTTATTTCATGAGGCATCTCTTCAAGGTCATTCAACTAAAGACACGATCTTGGGTCTCTACCAGAGGTTTAATCGCAAAGTATCGCGACTGTAAAGATGGCGTTGAAGTAAAATCGGCACAGGAAGACATCTTGAAACAAATTGAGACAGAGTCCATAGAAAGACGTACGTTCGCTCCATATGGAGCGTCACAAGCTATCTTGACCTGACCGTTGACCGGATGCTTCGATCATCTCCAGGTAGACCTCCTGAAAACGATGATCTTCTCGTACCAAATCTCAATCACACCCAAGCTTGGGATTTGCGGATACCGGAAGAAAATTCGGAAAGTGAAGACGACGAAGAGTGAGGAACCGCTGGAAGAAGCTTGAATTCATATCCTCCAGCTTTCGGTTGTTTGTACATTATTTCATATAAGCTATGATGATTGTCGTTTTTGCCGTCACAGTTCGCAATCAATTATTTCTTTCCAAATATGCAAACACCGACATGACCAGCTGTACTACGTTTCTAGATTTTCCCTAGGTGATTTTGCGTTGACAGCGATATTTTGAACTTTTGAAATCATCTCCTAACAATGTTTTACGCCTGCATGCTCTGACATTCAATGATTCGCGATATTTGTTAAGCAACCTCCCTTTAGTGAGGCCGTCAAAAGTACAATTAATAGAGCCTAGCTATCAGCTGAGTGTCGTGCATCTATAGCAGAGAGGGAAAATGGACATTGGCGCGGAGCAGACCTCACGTAAGAACTGAGGATACCCCTTGGGAACTTAGAACCACGGCTTGTGGGTACCATGAGCCTGTTGTGACATATGGGAACTTCACAAATCGTACATAGTGTATTAAGCTTGACACCGGCTCAAAAGCCCAAATCAATTCTTTCAACCCCACAGCTTTTATCTTGTTTGTACATTCATGTGCTGCACGCTCACCCTATCGACCATCTATGATCACATATATCGCCAACTGAACCGGGGTCCAAGGGACTCACTTCAGGGGGGGCTGGTCTTAAGCTAGCATCTGTCCATTCTGCAAGGAGATTCGAGTCACCATTCATCTGATTGGGAGACACGACAAGATGAACATTTACAATCATAAATTATTTGTGAGATAAAAAAACTGATTTCTATTCTTGACAATGAAATACACATGCACTACAATCCTAAGATAGACCTTACCGGATCAAGTTGATTTAGGCCTCTCCGAGGAATTTGGATGAAGCATGTCTGTCGGGCTGGTGCCCTCTGAATGAGCCTGTACGCGGAAGATGTTATCTTTTTTTCTACGCACGCAGCAACCCATATTTTACTCATCAGTTCGACATGTGATACTCCAGAGTTCAAATTGAGAAGCAAACCTAGAGGCGCGCATCACCGGTGAATTACCTCGGTAACGAACATATAAAGCGCCGGCCATGAGGGACATGGAGCCACTGATACTGAATAGACCTGCAGTCACAATGCCAACTTTGTTGAAGGTTGTACTGAATGCATCGTGAGTGTCGAGCTTGAAGGCTGATACGATCATTGAAAGATTCAGCATAACAAGACCGACAAACACGAGGGCGCAGCTGATGCATCCGAAAGCCCCCACAAGCCATTCTCCAGTGAACTCCTGGGGTTCCTGTGCGTTCATATATGTACTACTGCGCGTTGGTCGGTTGTCATTCCAAATGCTATCGAATTGTCCAAAGAAGCCCATCGTCCCCGCGCCGACAGCACCGACGACAAATGTTGAAGCCGCCCAAGCTAAAAACACGGGCTGCGGGGTCACATAAGTGAAAAGATTCGCATAAGCTAAAGATGCACCGAAGAAAGCACTTTGTGCCAATGTGATAGAAGTCGATCGGTATGTGGAACGTAAGGTGATCATATACTGCGGGCTCATAATCGGAGCTAAGATTGGAAGTGAATCTGTCAGGTTCGAACGTCCAGCATTCATAAGGTCAAGTGGGCGTGGGTGTGATGAGGTCGCCATTGAGTTATATTGTTGATTATTGGCATCGTAGGTAGCTTGCTCTTTATTCAAAGAAAGATCTGGCGGCAAGAGCTGAATAGTGATATGTTGAGAAGCGCCGGACATCTTGCTATGTGATGAGTAGCTTCTGAAAAAAAAAGTAGACAATCTTAGATGATACTGCTTGAGGCTACAAGGTGCATGTTGTTCAGACAAAGCTATCAGTCGATTTGCTCACCCAGTGATGATTCAGCACCAAGGAAACTTTCGATGTCGATGATGTCCCAAGACGTTGCAATGGAAGCAGTTAGGATATGTCGATCGGGATATGAGAGGGGTGGGTCATAAGTTGGATACCACGCTTGGATGCATGTGATAGAGCAATTTCCAGTGAAACTCACGTTGAGCGTACGCCAGGGACCATCGGCTCAGTTCAGGTACGGATCAGGAATAGCCTGAGTCTAAGATGCGGCTCGCACCTGATCTCCTTCTCTTTTTGCGGGATGTCACACAATCTAATGATATACGAGAGTTTGAAATTGCATAATGGTCACCGGAGGCCTTCCTGCTGGGTTGAGTGTGATCTTAGGCACACGAGTCTTGGCCATATGTTTCATAGAGGCCAGGTTGAACGTGTATTCTTCGCTGAATGATAAAAGCCTAACGATGCTTAGAAGGCATACCAGCTTGGTGTAGGATGCTGAGGATTAATATTATGGCGGCCGTGAGTCCGACTCGTCACCGCAGGTTTCTGTGATCCATCTGAATCAGAAATTTCACCCCGTAGAACATCTTTTGGATTTTTCGATTATGCATGGTTATTGTTCTGGGTGATCTGAACAGTGAACATCTTGCGAATTCGCACACAGGATCAGGAGACAGACTTTATCCAGAGGATGTGGATTTGGATCATTGTCTGAATATGCTCATCAAAGCAAAGACATAGTGAGATATCGAAGGACAGTGAATCAAGATGGCACCTTTTCCTTGGCCATCTACCGCAACATCCCATGTTGAGGGAAAGGTTAGAAAGAAGTGCAGAGACTTACGTATTCATCAATTGCCCTCTTCCAATGATTACTATATTCTCTCCTTAGCTGGCCGGTAATTGCAAAACGCTTGGAGGGCTCATGTATTCTCTGGATTTCTGAAGGAACTTTATCATATCTCCAAAACCAAGTCCGGTCTACCAAACGAAATGTGTTTGGCAGATATATGTTACCTTACCTTTCCCGTTATAGAGAATATACCTAGCGATGAGGTGTTATTATAATTCACCTCTTGGTAAAAACCCTTCACTACGTGTGACTCAGCACCTTCAGCCTGGCGAGAGGGAATGCCAATATGTAAAATCTCCTTGCTCAGATAGCCATTGAAGACCTATGCTTTGCTTGAATGCGGTGTTCTTCAAGGTATTGTGGGAATAGCTTAAGCTTTCCCAAGAGACTTTGTCATGGTTGAGGTGGTTTTATATAAGCAGGTGTGGAAAGATATCTTCAATTTATATGGCATGCCAAACATCCATCATCCACCCCATACTAAGTTCAAAGTATACATGTACTATATCTTTTCCATAAAGCAGTTGTCCTGCTCCTTGGCAAGTGAAACAGAGGTTGGCCTGAGTCACATATATCACAATGTATAAATTTATGCCATACTCCTACATGCCAAGTGTCACAAACCTTGACCTGAGGCATGACAAAAGTCCTGAGGATCTAGGTGCTATCCAAATTTGACAAAAAATGTGCACATTAGGTGCACCTTTTCTGTGGAATATCAAGTATCCACCATCATTACCCTTGAGCCTGAAACTTTGAACCACAGGACCCAATTTCCTTTTATTCCAATCCAAGCTACCATATACCAAGCCTACCCCATCCACCTCATTCAGAACCTTTGCAATGTTTCAAAACTCAGAATTCAGTGTAGCCATTCTGGTCATTAAAAGACAAGCCTGGTAGCATGGTCAGGGACTGAGGATGGATCCTTCAAGCCAATTGCCAGAGTTACCTGCTCACTAATTACAGATTTCATGCACAGACATCAGCATTTTTGGGCAGAATAAATGATATTGATACAAAAAGCACACCTCACACACCATGAGGTGTATAGACCAAGGTTTAATCAGGTAGTCTGGGGTAGCAGTGCACAAGTTCACTTATCAAACACAAGAGAAATATACACATTTTTTGTTGTATTGCAGGTTCAATACCTTTCACACACATTTCTGTATTGCTTCCACCATTCCTCAAGGAGCTAAACATTTTTTGTTGTGTTTGAGTCAACACAACACAAGAAAATAGAAATGCAGTTTGTTGTGCTGATTGCACCCAAAGATTATGTATTCAACTTGATTTCAACTTACTAAATGTGTTGGTAATGCTCATAATCACATTTTGAGAACCAAATGACCAAAGTAACATGTAAATTGAGGGTAAACATCAAAGAAATGAAATATTGCACTTTGTTGTATATAATATCAGTACCAACATGTTGTACTGCAAATGCAGAGAAATGCTCAAACAAACCTTTTGATTATGTTACAGAGTATCTGTGATGAAAATTTGAGGGTTGCAACTTTGTTGAGGCCGCCGCAAAGCTGCAACACGCTCAATTTGTTTGTGTGTGGCTTATATTTTGGGGGTAGGTTTGGCGGGGGTAAAAATTAGAGAGGAAACAATTGTTTAAAAGAAACTGGGTCTTGAGGGCTGAGCTTTCAGGGTCAAAAAAATAGGAATCCAAAAAAACATGGCGATAATCATGGCGGGCACTTCATATATTGCCTAAAATCCAGAAAGATTGTGCTGGAGTCATGTATTTCAGTAACACAAATATCTGTACTTGATGATATCACTTCTTACAAACTGGTGCCGGTGTGGACAGTGGCACCGGTAGGGTTGGACTGCGAGTGCACAGCTTTTCCGGCACCACCCGCCAAGTGACGGAAATCTTGGCATGAACCAAGTGAAACTGAAAGTACCAAATCCCGGTATAAGACTAGTTTGATCGATAAATGGTTAATATGCTCATGAAGACGTACAGCCAAGGATGTATGAGGATGACCGAATGATGCAAAAAGTAAAAAGTTGAATTTTATATTTCCCAAGTTTAGCGTTAGTGCCAGTTGGTACATCCAACAAAAACAACGCTCCGGAAGAAGTTTCTTTTGTCGAAGGTCAACTTCTTACGAATAATTTCCAACGTTGTAGCACTTGAACGAAACACGAGTTGAGAAGAATCGGATTTCGATCGACCAACCAGATTCGTTCTACTAATCCATCCATCTCCGTTGACCTGCCCTCGACCTCAGTGTTTTGGTATCAACTTGGTTTCTTTGGTATTACTACCAGCAAGAATCGGATTTATCTGAAGTCTTCAAGCCTCTTGACTTCAAACTTTGATATTGATCACGAATTAGTTTATTTGAAGCTAGTACGAAAAGTGGGGTTTGAAGCGAAGTTCTAGTTCATCTCGATACTACAAAGAGGAATCAGTCAGTCTCTTTGTTAACCTTTCTTCTCTTGAACCTTTTCGGTATGTTTTTGAACTCGATCAAACTATATATGTTGGAACTTTTTGGCTCTACCACATTGATTGGAGGCCTCTCACTTTATCAGAGCCTGCCATCTTGTCTCCAAGATGTCATGGAGAAGTCTTAAATTTGGATTTGAAGGCTAAGACTTGAAGAATGTAGGCCAATTGTGGATTCATCTTTCTAACCTCATGAGATTAACTTTGTACATATCAAGCTTTTCTCCTGATGGATTTATCGTTTTTCAATGTTTTCTGTTTGCCGCTTGCCTTGACCCTCAGAGTTCTACGGAATTCTTTTCTTCCTTTATTTCCGTTGAAGTCCTTCCTGCGCCCGGCTGGTCTTTCTCCTTTAATTTGACTTTCATCTTCGAGCACAGCTAACCAAACATGATATAGTCTCTTGTCTGATCCTCTTCATCCTCCAGATGGCTTTCTTTTGAAGAAAGCCTCACTGCTGTGATTTACTCATTGTCAAATTTGGCCAATTCCTATCTGTTTTTGATTTCTTGTCCCAGGTTTTGCTTATTTTTTGCTCAGCCAGACTCAAACTTTTCCTTATCCCAATTCTGGTTATCCGGCTCTCACTGCCTTATTGTTTGCTTTGACTTGTCCTTTTTGGTCTGTAAACTCACATCAATTTCTCTCATAAACTACTTCAGGTCTACATTTCACCCGACACTCAGCTTTAATCAATTCCACAGGATATTGGTCATCAGCTCAGGCTATCAAATGTAAGTTTCTTGTTTTTGTTCTTTCTACATACATTCTCTTTTGAAACACATCACCTTTTTCTTACATAAAAACCTCATTGCGGCCTGTTTCCATAAACAGACTTTATATATCCTCTGTGCTTACAAGCTGCTGTAACCTTTCCAGTACTTTCCTATTGTGGATTGACAATTGCCTCACATTATTCCTGGCATAAGACATAGAACATTCTCCACTTCCAGAGCATCCAATTGGTGTGTGCTATCTTTGGGTCACTGTTTCACTGTCCTGCATACTCTCCTGGTGTTGTGAGTTGCTTGTTTCTCAATTCCAACTCTTCTGGCTATCTTGGAGGTTTGGACTCATGTGTAGACAGGTACACAACACAAGGGATTGTTGGACAGCTCAGGCACTGACTCCCATCTCCTCATCAAATGGCATCTAGTACTCTTTGGACTTTGAACCTCTCAGTGTCATCTCCATCCAACTAAATATGTGAGAAATCACCAGCATCATTACAGACCCTGCTCCCATATTTCCTCTACTTCATCAACTTATTGAAATTGCTGATTATTTTCTTACTACATCATCAGCACTGTTTACTTGAATTGGGTACCATCACATCCACTCCACCATCAGATTTGTCTTTATATCCTTTAAGCCAGGCCTTCATTGGCTGTTTTAGTGCTTTTGCTGTATATACTAGATAGATTTCACTTGTGAGCAATTATCTCTGCTGACCAAATTCCTTCCAAACAACCCTTGTCTCTGACTGATTGCCTCTATTTTACAGTCATTTCAAAATCTCACCAGAGATTAACCCAAATCCAATTTTACCTTTTGAATTTGGTGTTGGTGGTCTGGATCATTGCCAACCTTTGGAAAAGATTCAATCCATCACATCAACCACCTCAACACCTACCTTTTTTATTCACTCCTTTCAGTTTCTTTTCAATCTCTCAGCAGTCAAATAAAACAAAAAAACAAAAAAACAATCAACAGTCAGTCCCTCTTGCCATCAATCATCAATTGCACCGAGGCACAAACCTTATCACCTTCATTGTGTGTGGCTCTTTAGGGGACATTCCTTCACCGCTTTCACATCCATAAGAAAAGGTGTTATTGGTTCAGGGGGTTCTCAATACCACCTAACACGGCCAGCTCTTAAGGTTACTTGACTTTAATTGATCATTGAGCAGCCATCCATCCAAGGTGTTGGTGTTTTGCCAACAACTTGAGCTGGTGTGTTTGCTCTCTGATCTGGGCCTTCTGGTCCCCATCATCTTTTGTCATGAGCTTGCATAATTCATGGACCAGCAATGGTATTAACCCTGTTCAACCCAACCCAATTTCAGAGCATTCTTTGAATCACAATGTTTCTTTGATCAAGCCACACAATACCATATTGCTGCAGCATCCAACAAACATTCAGAGTCTCACCCATGACGTACCTAATCAATCAGTCACAGTTGATCCTCATCATCATTTCAATTATCAATCATTGACCCCTTCTTGGTTGTCTGTGCCATCCCCTATCAACAAACCCAGTCATAGTGGGCATTTATTGCTGCAAAACACTAGTGAATTGTCAAGTGTTGCGTCTCATGGTTCAATCTCTTCAATGAAGGCATCTCTCTGCACTTTGGCTGATGCATTGGACAGTCATCTGTTTCAAGAACACTTAACCTATCAAGGCTTTAGTCAACTTCAAACTCCAAGAATTCATGTGCCTTGAGAGATGATGCGCAGCTGCCACACAACACCAACTCACATGCCTTGAAAGACAAAGTTGATCTCTCAACTTGCTCCCTGTCTGTCTTTCCCGGCCAAAGTTTCCTCTTTGTTTCAACCTTCTCAACCTACTATAAAGAACCACCATGCCATTCAAAAGCGACTCTTGTGGCTGAATGTTGGGATCACCCTAGCTGGGCTCAACCTCCTCATCAACCTCTCAAATGCAACAGCAAATCAACAAGCATTCCCCAGGTGCTTGCTATGCCATTGTTTGATGTGTTGCCATCCTTTGCCTTCCCGTATCAAGATCCTGTTGAAAAAATGGAGTCAGTTGATGTGCTTGTTCCCAACTCCTACCCAGTACCACCACCACCACCTTACAAAGAATCAGCTGCACCACTCTCTGATCTAGCCAGTGAAATGGTTTGGGAACGTTGCTACACACCTGGTCCATATCAATCTCATTGTACCTCACCTCTCAACAAGCTGTTTTCAAACCCTGTAAATGATTCAACCTTTTTGGGGGGACTCCCTTCAGACCATCATGTGCAAGGATACAAAAACTACTACTCCTCAGTCAATTCTACCTCCCCATGGGCAGCAATTCATGGGCATCATCAAGTCAGCCCAGTCAACATGATGGGGGTTAACAAAGATGCAATGAAGGCTAATCACTTCCAACCAAATAGTCAACAGGATATCAAACCTTTGAGGACAGAGGTCAAACCTGCCTTTAGACGTTGGACTCAACAAGTGCTTGAACAAACTTTACTGTCACCTCAAGTCCTTGTCCTGGCTTTATACTATGTTGATGTACTTTCAGGACAGGATGTTTTTGGAGATTCCAATCAAGGCAAATCATCATTGATGCCTTACAAGACACTTCTGGCTGCTTTGGTCTTGGCTAACAAGACACTGGATGACCACAGCTATAAGAACTCCGTGAGCTATCATCCACTCAATCACATCTTGCAAATGTAACTTTCCTGTTCTCATTCCAACAGGTTTTCTGACTTACATTTTACCTCTTGGTGTTATCCAATCCAATTCCACCAAAGACCTTTGCAACCATTTCAAGCATGACCAACGCAGAAGTCAATACTATTGAGGCAGCAATGTTGAAAGCCTTGAAGTTTGATACACTCCCAGGAGCCAAAGAATGGAGGAATTGGTTAGGTGTGGTAGTGATGACAGGCAAACGTGCGAGAATGAATTCAGGGATGATTCGAAAGAAAGAAGAAGAAGTTTTGATTGAGAAGCTTAAACTACAGCATGATATGTTGATGTATGAATCAATCTTTGGTTAAGCTCCTAAGGAGCAAATATATCAATTTAACAATGGATATCCACCTCACCGTGGTATTTTTATGCCAAATTAATAGTTGTTGAATGCTGATTTTCTCCTGGGATTAATCAAGATTGATGCTTGTAGCACTTGAGTAGTTCACACTTTCCATTTGTCAGATTTTCAACACCATGTGAATGTGATGCATTGTTCACGGTTATGGCTATTAGGCAATCTCACTTTCCCAATGAAATTACAAGGTTCTAGGGTTGTTTCTACTTCTTTTCATTGCTACCAATCACTTGTTCAGAAAATCTGTACAAGAGAAACTTCACTGACTTTTTGAAGACATAAATTGATAATGGGTATCACTCAATAGCAATACAATGATGATGATAGATGGTAGCTCTTGTTATACAAGACAAAGGTTTTTCTCTTCTTGATAAATCTCTCTTGAGTTTTTTTTGAAGAGATTGAAGGGCTTGATAATAGTCATCATCAATTCATCATGTGTTGACGCTCATTATCATCTTCCAACCTATATTACCTTTTTCTTGATTTTCATTAGATGGAATTTGATCAGATTTTTTCATGAGATAATAGAGGAATGATAACATCAATATGTGTTTCAATTTAATTCCCATGTGTATGATTAGTGATGCATTATAGAGATTTGATCACACTTTTGTTTCATTCAATCCTTTTTGTTTTCTTTTGATCTTTTACATGTGATGGTTTTTGATTTTTACTTCTGATATCGTTGATGGTTGAGAAAGTTTTTGAGAAATCACAATTGTTTTGGTTGGTCTGGTGGATAAATATGTATTGAATGGTTGAAGAGATTTGAATACCCTCTGAGCATTGCCATTACATAATCATGCATTACAAGTACATATATCAAGAAATGGTAAAACAATTCAAGCAAAACCAACATGACTGTAGTCTGCGAAAGTCTCAAGAAGAACCCAAATAGAGGGCCAAGATCATGTACGTTTTGATGAATGAAAATAAGGAAAAAGTCAAGAGAGTGTTGAGAAGTGAAGAGAGCCTCGGATTCGAATGAGTGAGTATGTAAGAATCCCAAGGAGACCACTGCCAGCAGTTGATGATGCTCAGAGTGAGCCAGGAGAAAGTCACTCAACCCGTCTTGAACCAATGGACCAAGTTAGTATCATGCATCTCATTCACGAATGGTACGCACTACTACTAGTCTGACTCTCAAGATAAGAGATATCAAGTTCAATAGCTGACACTGACCATTCGATCTCAAACCTAGCCAATTCAAAACTTTGACATTCATACTCAACTCGAGAGTCGACACTGGAAACACTTCATCTGATTCAAAATATCAACATCGAATACTTCTTAACTGATGTCCTGGGGTGAAGAAGAAGATCAAGATGATTTCAATGCAATTCAAGCTGATCAAGATGGTGGAGATGATGATGAAAACGCAATGTCTGTCTCATCAGCAACTGGATCGGATAACAATAACTCATCAGGAAATCAAAATGAGGATCAAGATGATGATGATCAAGAGAATGCTGATGGAGATGATGACGATGACGAGGATGATGATGACGATGACGATCAAGAAAACGATGGAAGAGATGATGATGATGGCCAAGAGAACGATGATGAAGACGACGATGATGACGATGAAGATGATGAAGAAGGTGGTGAGGGAGAAAACGACGACGATGACGACGACGAAGAGGATGAGGATGAACAAGAACAAGAAGAGAATCGATCTAACTCCACCGATCAAGATGATGCTCAACATCAAATGGTCATCGACTCACAATCTCCATCAACTCAACAACACCTTCAAGCTTCTCAAAGCTTCAATACCTCAGGACAAGATCTATCACTTCAATCATCTTCTCAATCCCATCATCAATCTTCCTCTACTTCTCTTGATATCGATCCATCTCAAACCTTTCATCAAATCCAACCTTTTGCCGATTCTTACACTGATCGAGTCGCTCGTCGACGTCAAATTGTAACGGCTCCTAGGAAATTGTTAAAACCACCTGTCATCGATCCTTTGGTTTTTATCCCTCACGGTTGTCCTGTTCATGCACTTGCTTTACCTCCATGTGGATCTCATCTCTTCTCAGGTGGTCAAGATGGTTTTATTCGAAGGATCGCTATATACGAATCTGTGACTGGTTCGATGACTGAAAATTTAACCATGAGACAAGGTGGACATGTACCATTGATCGAGAAAGAGGGTGATAAAACTACTATATTTCTTACTGGGTATTGGGAGAATGAGGATAACGAACGTGCAGTTCAATCCATTCACAAGGTTGGAAATGATAATTCTAGATCCGCGAATCGATGGGGACCTAAGAGCGTAGGAAATGCTTCAAAAGTCAGTCCGGTCTATAGTCTAGCCGTTCAAAGCGAAGAACTTTGGGGATTGAGTGGAACAGAGGTAAGCACAGCCTGATTGATCCATAAAACATTGCTTGAAAAGTTTTGCCATTAACACATTGGTTCGATTGGTTCTTATTTTGATCACTCCGTATACAGTCAGGTAATATCAATCTCTTCACGATTCGACATGACGAAGGACAAATTCGACACGTGTTCAAGGGTGTCAATATACCACCAGGCCCACTTTCCACCTCATCTGAGATTTCCGGTCATAGACTTGGTTCAGTGGTTTCGGCTCTTGAGCTTAATCATGATCAAAACATTGCATTTAGTGGAGGATGGGATGGGAATGTGTTGGTAAGTACCTTTTTCTTCTTTCTTTTAATCTTATAGATCGATCACCATCTCTCGAGATCTTTACTCCGATCTATAATTACTCCACTGATGGCTTTCCACACCAAAAGGGATGGGATCTCAACACAGGTCAAGTTGTCAATCGATTCATAGCTCATGCTTCTCAAATCTCAACTGTCACCATGAGGCCAGATCATTCTAGTACGATATATGATTCCAAGAATTTCGATGAAGCATTAGTCGGTCAACGTTCACCCAAACCAGAAGAGCCTTATCATCCTAGTGAAGAAGCCCAAGAACCAGAACCAGTAGAACAACGGCAAGCATCCCAACCAGCGCCAACTCAACCTTCACCTGACAAACCTCCTTTTGAGGAACCTAAACTTGAAAGTTCACCACAAAAGCCTATGGTCATTGATGGAGAAGAGGAAGATGGGAATGATGATGACTCTCTCTTTGCTGGCTCTGGCTCAGATGGTTTACCAGATTCATCACCGGCACCTGTACCAGATCCAGTACCTACCCGACCTCGTAGTCCGACAAATGAATCTATCAATCCTACAACGTCTAATGGAGAAACTCGAACTCGAAATGAGAACCCTGATTTCTTCACCTCCTTGAGCTTTCCTACCGGTCCTGCTCCACCTAAACCCGTCCCACCACCTCTAGCACTACCCAACAGTAATACACCGGCCAACCCAGTCAACACACTACCACCACCAATATCACTACCACCTACACGTTTAGCACAAGTTCCATCAGTGACTGATTCATCATTACCATTATTAAATGAAGATGTACTATTAACGAGTGGAATAGATGGACAAGTATATTTATGGGATCGAAGGATCCAACCTGTGAATGGAAAAGGATTAGTACGAAAACTAGATTTACCCAAACATACTGCACCATGGACTTCATCTGTGACATGGTCAATCGATGGACGATCGATTTATGTAGGTAGAAGACATCATTCGATAGATGTTTATGATCTAAGGTTTAATAAGACAGTACAAAGAACCATTAGATTACCTAGTTCGTCTGGACCGATTAGTTGTGTGAAGATGTGGCCAGATGGAAATTCATTGGTTTGTGCTTCGTTTGATAATGTTAGATTATGGAATTTGAAATCAGAAGCCAATGGTGCTAAGATCCCATTTCGAATCATTCCTGGTAACTCTAGTGGAGTAGTTTCAAGTATGAGTTGAGTGAAAAAAACAACAGGATTTATATCATCTTTGATCTTTTTTTCCCAGAGAAATTCCAATGATAGAACTAATGTTTCTTTTCTTTTTTTCGGTTCATCAAAATAGGTATTACTCCTTCACAAAGATATTTAATTACTGCATCGGGTGATAGAGGATGGGAAAATACAAGTAATGAATGTGTTGTGATTCATGAAGTTAGAGCCACCTAAGAAAACCAAATGCAAAGCAAAACGAAACGAAACGAAGAAAAAAGTTATCAAATATATCAAAAAAAAAAATCCTGATCGAATGGGATCATTTTTCAAAAAAAATTGTATATAAATACGTTATGTACTTTGTTTTAAATTAAAATGGAACTTACAATAATTAGAGTTAAAAAAACACATTTTGTAAAATTATAAATGAAATCTTTATTTTTGAATGGTTTGGGTTTCTTATCAACAAAAGAAAGAGGTAAAGTTTAGAAATCTACAAGATTTTGATGACTTTGTGTATATCCTTTAACTTGAAAATTTACATAAAGGGAAATACAAACCTCAACCTCCTCTTTCTGTTCTGGTGAAATATGCTCATCCTCATCTCTTAAGATATAGGTAGAGAATTACAAAGACTTTTGTGATCAAGTTTTCTAGCTTGAGGTATGATTTCGATTTCAAAGATACAAATTGTAGGCGATGTAGATCTTTCGAAAATCAATTAATCATTCATACGTTACGTTCATGAAAGAGAAAACCAATCAACTAATATTCATCAATTTCTCTTGATGATTTTTTTTCATTCATATCTTTGGAATTATCATATCATAAGTACTTTTAAACCAAACTCTCAATTCTTTCTTTCATACAACCAAAAACAAAATCATAGATTGCAACCCAAAAAGCAAGGAGAACAAAATGAAAACAATCTATAAGGTTTTCTAAAGAATCAATAGGTTTCATGGGGGATTGATATATTTCATATAAAGATTTTTTATTCCCATTGAGACATTAATTTGGATTGATTTGAGAGAGAGTTCTTTCATCAAGTTTACATGGGTGGTGTGGGAGGTGTGACACCTTGTAAAGCAGTTTCATCTAATGGTGAAGATTCAAGTTGGATTCCGATTCCAAATTTAGATTGAGACTGTTAAACAAAAAACAAATCATTCATCAATCACTCCACCCAAACCAAGTGACATAAATGTATTGTACATTGAAGCAAGAGAAGAAAGAGAAGAAGAAAAAGACAAACCTTGAAATGATCTAATTCACCAGCAATCGAAAAAGTAAAAGTAGGAGCGATTCTTTGTTCTAACAACATTGAAACCTTACCATGTGAATCGATTTGAGACCGAATAGTAGCTTGACGTAAATCATAACGTACACCAAAGGTTGTCAAAGCTTTTCGTTCAGAAGGTGAAGGATGAGGTAAACAAACTAAATCTAAACCAGCCTCGACCTTATCCGATAACTTTTGCCAATAAGTAGCTTGTAAGATTCCTTGACCCGATAAATTTAAAGTAGAGATCCAATCTTTTTTAGAAGAAGTCCATTTTAATAAATAAGATAAACTTGCATCTTCCATTGGAGGTTGGATTTGCCAAACTGATTCGATTCCGAATGATAGTCTAGAATGTAATGATTGTAAGTATTGAGTGATGAAGATACCAGATTTATCAATCGGATTAGGATTGTAGATCTTAAATGATAAACTATAATCTTGACCTCTTCGATCATGTTCTAATTGAGTAACAGATGGTGAAGAAGTAGAAGTAGGCCATTGGATTTGTAATTTTGAAATATCTTGTTCTGTTGGCCATCTATAATTCAATCGACCCATCAAAGTAGCATCATTATCAAGACTACCTTGAGCAAAGATCTAATATGAACAGAATTTCAATATTCGTATCAGTCGTTCAAATCAGAAGAATGGTTTAAGTGATGATTGAGTTGAGTAAATTACTTTGTTTGTCGCATACATTGCACCAAAGTTGTATGAACCAGGATTAGTACCACCCATGGCAGCCGAACCACCTTGAGCACCCAAACTAAAACTATGGGTCACATTAAAAGCAGGGTTTAATGATAAAGCTTTAGATAATTCAGCTCTTGCTCCATCAAAGATATAATTAGTTAAATGAACACCTATCAGATTTCCGAAATCAACATCAAATCAAATCAAATCGAATCAAATCAAATCGAATCAGTGGATTGTAAATAATCAAGTGAATGAATGAGAAATGGATTGACCTTTGAGTTCTCTACCTACTTGTTCATATGTACCAGGTTCAGGTAAGTTTAAAGAATCTCTCCAAGATGAGATTTTGTTGATAAAACTGTTTAATGGAGAGAATAGATTGATAGATTGATTGGGAATAGGAGATGATGAGATGGTGATCAAATCAAGTGATTGAGAACTAGAAGGATGTTGATTTGATTGGTTTGACATTTTTTGATTGCTGAGTTTGATTGAACTTGATTGAAGATGGATTGGATTGGATGAGAATGAATTTTATTTTTTTCCAATCAATCGAAGCTGCGTAAACTGCGGATAACTGAACTCCAACTTGATCCGATTCCCGATCATCATTTCGAGTAATTATCCGAAACTCAAACGGGTCAGCACTCTAAAGAATGTTGCAGAAAATGATAACAAGGCAACCACAACTACCTATTACTAACCAACAACTCAACATCACCAAGACCAAGACCAAGTCCAATCAAACTCATTCAAAAACACGAAAAACATAAAAGAAACAAACCAAGAAGAAACAAATCAAAGAAATCCATCCAACCTATTCCATCATGACATCCAATTCACCCAACAAAATCACCAATCCATTAAACTCACCATCTTCATCTTCAGCTCAACTAAGTCCTCTAACATCTCAACCTCCTAACCTATCAACACATCCAAATGAACATCATATCATCATTCAATCACCTAAATCACCTACTCATCCAATCCATCAACCTATCGATGCTAATCAATCTAATCATCATCCTAGTAGAGCAAAAGTGATTTCGACAGTTTCGTTTTATTTAGTTGCTGCTTTAGTCATGGTCATGGTTAACAAAGTTGAGTAACACATCCAATTCAAAAAAAAATCACAAATCTGAAACTTCTTCAAAAACTGACGAGAAAATTGATTTGTTTTCTTATTTAAAATCCAAAAAAAGTGGGTACTGAATTCAATACCAGCACCACTTTTCTTTTTGTTTTGTCAATTGGTCATAGCAGTGATCTTATTGAAACTGTTTGCTTGGTTTGGGATCTTTACTTTACCTACTTTACATTTATCGATTTTGAAATCTTTGGTACCATTGATTTCTATCAATGTCTTAGGTCTTACTTTTAATACTTATTGTTTACAGTTTGTTGATGCATCATTTTATCAGGTAAGCTTATCCATCTTTTCAAACCATTTGACCAGAAAAAACCAAAACTAGATGAAATTGACTGAATAAATTCTTCGGGGTTTTTTTGATGTTTTAGGTGGCAAGAGGATTGATCTTACCTTTTACGGTTTTAGCTTCATATTTATTTTTAGGTACAAGATCATCACCCAAGATTCATTTATCAATCTTTATAGTCACTCTAGGCTTCATCATCGGAGTCTCATCCGAAAGATTAACCGTTTCTCATCTCGGTGTAGCCTTAGGTATCTTTTCATCCCTGACGACTTCAATGCATGCGATCATCATGAAACGAGCGTTGTCGAAAGTATCAGGTACAATCGATCTCACTTATCTTACAAACCTTTATTCGGCTCTCTTGATCTTTCCTTTTATTGTGATCATGGGTGAACTTCAAATCGTCTTGAGTTTACTCATCGGCGCTCATGATGCTAGTAAAACCTTTTGGTTAGGCACTTTGGTCACCGGTTTGTTTGGGTTTTTGATTGGGGTGGCTGGGGTGCTTTCGATTAAAGTCACTTCTCCTGTGACTCATATGATTAGTTCAGCTGTTAGAGGTGTATTCCAAGTAAGTGAAAAAAAAAAATTAACCCCGATTTTCAAATTCAAATCTCAAGAAGGAGACAAAGAAACTGATGTTTCGTTTTGGGTGTGTTTCTTAGACTGTTCTAAGTGCTTCTGTGTTTGGTGACGTGATCACCCCAGGTAGATTAGGAGGCATCTCGATGATCTTAATAGGTTCGATTTATTATACATGGGTTAAAGATCAAGAATTGAATTCTCCCTCTTCTACTTCTGATCTTAAAGTGAATGAAAGGATTCATATGAAAGATTTTAATGAGATTCAACCGCTGGTGAATGAGAATGATGAAGAATTGAATGAGATGGATGAAGATGATCGAGAATTACTTGAAGCTGCTAAACAACTTGGGATTGATAAATGAATTTAAAATCTTAAAATCTTAAAATCTATAGTTTACATCTTAAGTGATTTGATTTAATATTTGATGAAATTCGGTGTCTTTGTTGGTTTTTTTTGTTAATAGACTCTTTTTTTTGATTTTTTTGATTTTTTTTTTCTCAATAGATAGATATCTTACTCTTGTTTTCTTCTTTATTCTTTGATACAGATAAATCATGATACAAAGTTAATTTGTTTGTTTGTTTACATTTTTCTTTCTTTTCGTTGTTCATAAATTTCTCTCTCTCTCTCTCTGTGTATCTTTTGCATTTTGTTTTGTTTTGTATATATATATATATGAAAAACATTTGATTTCTTTTATGTTTTCAAAAAAAAAAATCAAATTATCGTATCTAGAAAAAGTGGCTTTTTGATTAGACCATCTGAGGTTTTGGTTTTACGAATTTTTTGAAAAAAAAAGGTTTGAATTGTGATGGAAAACGGGTTGAGCTGATCAAGTTCCACTCGCTTTCATATCCGATCCCGCAGATTTGTAATGCGTTATCGCAAAGAAGACACTTGCAGTGGTTGATTTGGTTGACTGTCGCGGAACTGCTCAACTTCAACCGCTGATTTGTAGGTGTAAATGTGAATCAGGTTTAAATTTCTTTCAACAAGGTACAAGAGGCTCACATGACGATAAAACATGATCACTGAAATCAGAGTGAAACCATTGAGATATGAAAGAAATCAGATCAAACATTCTATCTATCAACTTGAACTGATTGTTCTAATTATAATCTTCATTTGAGCATATTAAGAACAATGGCTTTATCACCTCGACATTCAAGACCACTCTTGATCCTCAGTTGCATCACCATCTCATCACTCTTTTTTTATTACTTTCCTACATTTCGTTCAACTGATCCTATAAACACTGTTGAAGAAAAAATAAATTCACAACCATCTGATGGATTCCTTCAACAACAAACAAATGATCATCAATTGAAATTAAATCCAATTAGTCTTCAACATCAAAACACAAGTTTGATAGAAGAGGATCAAAATTCTACAAAATGGTATCAAAACCCATCTTTCTTTTCTGATCGTTTGATTTATTCTCCTACAGTTTTGGTCAAACCAACTAAGATTTTATTCTTTGCTGATCTTGAAGGTTAGATTCTTAATTTGACTTTTCAATACTAACTCTTCACACATGTTTGAACTGAACTTAGACTTTACTCTAGATTCGTATGTTCGCACAGATACATTCTTTTACGAAACATACGGTGAGCCTCGATTTTTGAACTCCATTCAACCAATCCTAAGCTAACCAACCCAATCTCTGTAGAGGCAGCACAAAAGCATCCAAGTATTATAGCCAAATTCTGGGGACCTGGGTATTCAGATTACGATCCGAATGAAGATTGGAATCAAAACATTAATAAGAGATTTGGTTGTGGTTACTTTCAAATCGTGTTTACTCATTATGGTTTGATTAAGATTTGGGATGAGTTATTGACTACTAAACCATTAGAATGTAATACGCTTTTGATCGTTAAAGGTGGGGATTGTAATTTTGGACAATGTGTTAAAGATAGTTATTTATTGAATGGGAACATCACATTGGTTAGGTGAAGTTCTTTCGATTTGATTAGATTTTTTTTTATTTTTTTGATTTCTGTATTGAAGTTTCTTACTTTTCTTTTGTAAAGAACAGGTATGCAAATGAATTAGTCGAAATGTATTCTTATTTAAATATCCTTAAAGCCAAGAATCGAAAATATGATTATTTATCGGATGATGAATTAAGTCAAAAGTTTCAATTTCAACTCTTTGGTCATGTTCCTGATACAGCCAACGAATGGGATTTTTATCCATTAGTAAGTTTAAAGAGATTTAAATCTTTCTTAATTCATGATCTCTGATCCAATGATGTTTTTTTATTTTCATTTGGATGGCTTTAGGATGATTGGGAATCAAAGATATATGATGCAGTACTTTTTGGTAAAATCAATAGTTACTATCCTCTTAGGTTTGCCTTTGATTCACTCACTTTTCCATCTAATGACCTTTACATTAATAATATAACCTTTTTTTGATTTTTTTTTTCAAAAGAACAACCGTAGCCAAAGCTATCCAAGCCAGTCAAACCTTTATAGTGAATTCCATCAAACTCCGTTTGTTGCTCATTCCTCAAATCGATTTCCCCCCCAAAAAAAAACACTGATTTTGTTTTTCTGATATCATACAGCTGAACTAGATCCGAATTGGAAAGACTTGAAACCTCCAAAGAAATTGAATTGGTTAGATCCATCACACGATCTTCAAAGAAAGATTTTACAAGACTTTAGTAAGAACATGAGGCAATCTAAAATATGTGTATTTGATGGATCGATTGAAGGAAAATTCATTCGAAAGTTTTCTCAAGCTATGTTATCTGGGTGAGTTTTGAAGAAAAACTTATGAAAGAGAGATTCTGAGGTATAAGTTTTGATTGAGGATTGGGTTTTTGACGAATGAATGGATTATAGATGTGTGATTGCTAGTGATTTACCCAATGATCATGATACGATCTTAAAGAATAATATTATTGAATTAAAATTAAATTCGACTATTGAAGTATTAAACCATCTTTCTACCAATTCTTTGGGTCTTTGAGTTTGATTTGGATATTTTTGTTTTTTTATAGGAAATCAATAAAGCCATCAAAGCAGCTTTATTGGATGAAACCGAATTGAAAAGAAAAGCGTCTGTCTTACTAAGATATGCTCGACAACATTTAACGAGTACGAGAGAATTAGATTTGATGATCGAAAGTGCTGATCGGTGAATTCCTAAACTTATTCCTTTTCTCTAAAACCGATTTTGGATTTTTTTTCGTCGAGAATGATTAACTAAGGGAAGATTGATTGGTTGTTTTTCTTGACGCGTGGTTTAATAGATATCGGAATGGTGAAAGAGGGTATTGGTTTCCTACTGCTTTCTCTGCATTCTGTAGAAGGTATAATGTTGAAGATCCTGGGATAGTACCAGAATGGTAAGTCAAGTTTATTTTCATCGTTTCCTGAGAATGAATATAAGACGGTTCTTTAAGAAACGAGTTTATCAAAGAAAAAAGAAACTGATGTTGGGATGATTTGAAAATGGTTTCTAAATTCAAAAGGTGCAATGGTGTAGATTTTGTTGTTCCTGGCTTTTCTAATTGAATTTGTTTTTGATGTTGTAGTTTTTTTATTGGAAAAAGATGTTGGACTGGCTTTAGATTGGGATCTGGTTTCTAGTGGAATATTATATGATTTGAAGAAATGTGTAAACATTTGAATTCGATGATAATCATTCTTCAAAGAAAAGGAACTCAAATAAGAAAACTCTCAGTTTCTGAGAGCGGTAGTAGCATGGCCGATCATCACGAGAGGAGGATACGTTTCAGTGTATCATCATCTGAGTAGAAGATGAGCTGAGTTGGGCAAAACTTATTGAGCGAGATTGTGCATTGGTGTTTCTGTCATATACACCCGCACTGCTCTTTATCTTCTTTGGAACAAAAGAAGATGTAAATTCCTTTTCAACTCGTTATAATATGAATTTCGGTTTTGGATGACTACTTTTCTCTGAGACTCTAAAGCGTCTGCTTGTTGTATGAGAGGTTGAAAACCCTGATAGTATACTTGCAGACCTCGAATAAGAAGTTGGTCAAAACTCGAGAGATGAACTGGACTGAGTTGAAAATGACGGCTCTGATATAGACGTATCTTTTCACCTTGGGCACGTTCATTGTATTCTAAGAATAGAGCCTTTGATTTTACATAGTATTATTAACTAACCATCAAGTGCATCTTGAGCGTTTGGTTTATTGACGAAATCAATTGGCATCTCTAAAGCACTGCCGTAGGTGATCGCGCGAAAAGCTCATTATGACTCTGAGGGTGAGCCTAACTAGGCTGGGCCCAGTTCTCTTTAACCCATGAAGACCTTCAATTTCTTGGTGAAAAATCCGGTTGGCCGCGGTAAATGTGGAATAACCTTGACCTAATAGTAACATGAAAGATCACTAGACTCATGATTGGTCTCAAGGTCGATCGGGCTAAAGAATTGAATTTCATGAATCTTGCCAGCATTTGGACCATTGTCATAGATGATAGGACTAACACTTGGGTCGTAACCATACCATGACGCATCTTTTGTCTTTCTGCTGGTAGTCGACCTCGTCATAGTGGTTCAAGGATATGATATAAAGACTGTTCTGTTGCGCGAGGATATCCAACAATTTCCATCAACTTCTTATTCACATACATTATCAATTACATTCCTCATTTCCTGCATCTTATAAAGTTTTCCCTTTGACGGTCTTTCTTTTCAAAACCTTTTTAAACACTTCAAAACTCGTCAAAATGCAATTTTTCACCACCTTCATTGCAACTGTGACCATCGCTGGTTGGTGGCTCATATCTGATTGAAAATGCTCACATCTTTGCTTACAAGTTTCCTTCTTTATAGCTTCCGGTTTGTTGGCCGCACCTCAATACGACCCAATAAGCCTTGCAAATGAACTGCTCAGGTTAGTCATCTTATACTATACTCGTTTTCTTCGACCAAGAAACTGATTTATGATATTATGATCTTAGTGTGGCCGCACCAGTGGCCGCAATCACTATGGATCCGGTAGTTTTGGAAAGGCGAGGCACCAATCACTATGTCCCAGCAAGTTTACAAGCTCCTACTGCTTCCAAAGCTGTCTTACCAGCATCTATCCCCATCCTTGACCAAATGTACGGACATCTCGAGACGTGCATGAATGGACTCGAGATCCATTCTTCGAACATCAAAACTCATTGCGACAGCACCAACGAAGCAAACGCATCCGAAAAAAGTCAAAGCTTATTAATCGAGCTTCAAGCCATCATGGCTTTGTTTATGACTTGTATTTCTGGAATGACCTTGACCATGAGAACTGCCATGTCTAGCGGACTTCAAGCTTCTCAGTCAATGGTAACCGAAGGTGCTATCCATTCAATGGTAAATGATCATTCATTGGATCAACTTTCACCGATTCTCCATTCAATGACCTTACTAACATGTCTTGTGTTGATTTCAGTCCGACTTCGGTGGCCTCTTTATCAAAATGACTGCCACATTGAAAGATATGTATACCCACATGTCACAAGTCACCTCGGCTCACCCCATCATTATGCAAACCTGCGGTGGTAAGCCATTTTCCTTCTTGTCCAAATACGAGCTGTTTATCAAGACTCATGTCCTGCTTGAACTTTTGAATTAAATCAGGTATGATGGTCGAAGTGTCTGTGAAACTCACCTCGATCACTTCAGCTTGTGTTCCAATGAAAGGATTCTCTGCAGAAGTGATGAGTAAAGCTGGAACTAACTTTCAAGGATACCAACAAGTTGGATTTGGTTTCAATTCATTCTTGAACGTACTCGCATAAATGAAAACATTATTTTTTCTTATTACTTGTTAACTTCATACACATTCATTTTCACAATTCATTTTCTTATCTTGTGCAATAAATCTCCTTCTTTGCAATTTCAATACTTTATTCAAACATTTGCAACTTCATTCTTCCTGATACCGTCGATTCCTTGTGACGCATATCAACCCACTGCACTTGATTGAACTCGAAACATGATACATCTGCACTTGTCCACTAAATATTCTTCCTAGGATTTGAAAAGACCTCATTTCAGCGTACATGAGTGTTAGAAGATGATTCTTACTCGAATTGCACAGCCCAGAGACTCCATGTTAAGTTCCTATATCAGCTCCATTGATATCATTACTTATCATCATGACAATATGGAATCAACTTCACGAATTCCTTTGCGACTTTATCGGATCAAAAAAAGTCCCAACGTAATCAGAGGGGCATGAGTTGTAGGAAAAAAAACACTACTGATAATTGGGTTTATGGTATCGCTCATTAAATCAACTTAAATCCCTAAGCCACCCCCCTTAAAAAAATTCTGCCAGCATTTATGCTGAGAATTTTTGCTTTAAGGTAGAGTTGCTACAGGGATTTAAGATAACGCATCCCCCTTCTGGGTATCCAAGGGTCATTTGACCACAGGGACCCGAGGAATGCGGTGTGTGATCTTAATTTGGCTGACTCGTTGGCTCTCTATTTATACTTTTTTCTGCGCTGCCATTTTTTACATCCAGGCATTGAATCGGCAACGCTTGCTTATCAAACGCTTTGAAAAGCATGCTTATCAAACGCTTTGAAAAGCACTCCTTCTCAGCTCAACCGATCCAAATGTCCCCAAGCGACACCCAGATGTGTTTCAATAGCAATTCACACTTGCTTTTCAAAAGCAATCAAGCTATTCTTACTGCTTTAGATGCCTTGAATGTCCGCAACCATGATCCTTATGATTTTAAATAGCATTTTAACGTATCTTATTCCGTACATTGCACCAAATCCCTATGCTTTCCAACTGGACTGAAACCCCAGCCACGAGATTGTTGGTAAGCTTGCGAGCTTTTGCATTTGAACATCATCATTGATGCTGTCTAAAAGTAGGCGCTCAATCTACTCCACAACCCCTCAAAAGGGCCTACATATAGCTATTTTTACCGCGGCTTTGAAAGCTTCAAATATTCTCAAAGCGAACACCTTATCAATTGCTTTTTGAAAGTAGTCACATAGCTTTTCATCCCTCAACAGCTCTTATAACCCAACACGATCGTGATTGTTTTCTGAGAGCTGCCA